TTTCCCCCCAAAGCCCCAGTAGATAGTTGTATGTCACAGCTGCACATCCTTCTAGTTGCTGTATGTGGGACGCGGCCTCAGCATGGCCGGAGAAACAGTGCGTCGGTGCACGCCCAGGATCCGAACCCGGGCCGCCAGCAGCGGAGCGCGCGCACTTAACCTCCAAGCCACGGGGCCGGCCCCGCCTCGTAGGATTCTGATGTTAGTATTCCTCAGGCCTTCAGCTAGTGCAGCAGAATTAAATGACTTCTCTGTTGCAGACCCTGAGCTAACCATACCATATATGTAATTTCATTTAAGCATCCAATAACTCCACTAGGTAAGTGTTATAATGCTCATTTTATATAAAAGGAGACTGAGGCTCAAAGTGGTTAAGTGAATTGCCTATTTAAGTGAATTGCCTTGTTAAAGCCATGTTTTTATTGCTTCCACCCAACCATAATGAAGGATTGGGTGGGAGGAAAGGGTGGGTCTAGAATGTCATGGTGAAAATTAGTTATTTAGTCCATCTTAATTTTTCAACAAATATGAATGTTTTATGTGGCAGGGACTGTGGAAGCTCTGGGGATACAGGATGAATAGGACAGAGTCTCTGCTCTCATAAAGATGACCTATTACAGGAACCAGATGTAAAGCAAATAATTACATAAGCACATTTGATTGTAGTTCTGATTAGTATTAATTATTTCTTCTGTGTTCCTAGATCTCTATTTCTCATCTAATGGTTGAAAACCGACTGATGATAATTAATAGAACTCTAGAATCCATAATAATACATTTGTCCCAGCAAGGTCCTTCTTATTTTTTTCTAAAAAGTGTAAGTACTCTTGTTATTCCAGAGGCCACTGAAAATTAGAACATGAGGCTGCATGGCATGGGTAAAGACAACTAGACCAGGTGTCTTGAGTCCACGAGTTTTAGTGATAGTACTGCCGCCAAGTAGCTGTGTGAACGAGGGCGAGTCTCTTATTCTTCCTGAGCGTTGGCTGTCTGCTCTATAAAATAAGGGAGTTGTTGTAGGTCTCTGAGGTTGCTTCATGGTCTGGGGTATCTCTGAGTCTCTGATGGACTGAGATGTGGGTAAAAGGGGCCAAGACCAGACCCGGCCCCTGATTGTATATGTTTCTTGCAGGAACACCATGCTGAGCCTTTGCCTTGAGAATGCAGAGCTGAAAGAGCAGATGGGAGAAGCAATGTCTGATGGATGGGAGATTGAGGAAGACAACGAGAAGGGCGAGGTGATGGTGGAGACTGTGGTAGCCAAAGGGGGTCTGAATGGGAATAGCCTTCAGGCTGAGTTCAGAAAGCTCCAGGGAAAACTGAAGAATGCCCACAACATCATTAACCTCCTCAAAGAACAGCTGGTGCTGAGCGGCAAGGAAGGGAATAGTAAACTCAGTCCAGAGCTCCTTGTGCACCTGGCCAGGGAGATCGACAGAATGAACACAGAGCTTGTTTGTTCTCCTGGGAAGCACCAACGCCAAGAGGAGGACGTGACTATGAGGCCCTGCCCCAGACCCCAGTGCCTTGACCTTGGGTCTGCCCTCGGAGTGAATGCCCACCAAGTAAGTGTGGGCTTAGATGGAATGAAAGACCCTTGGAGAAGGGCTGGAAATGTCAGTTTTTACCTTAAGCAATTCTGCCCTGTGGGTCAGGAGGTACTAAGGGAAGGGCACCTTTGCACCGCAAGCAATGGTAATAATATTCCTCACACATTCAGCCTTTAGAAATGTTTTTACAGCATTATCTGATAAGTATTACTTGAGTAATTAATTTTCCATTAATATTTCTTGAGTGCTTAATTTTCCACATAACACACTAGGCATTGGCAGTGGTCAATAAGACCTGGACTCTGTCCTTCAGGTACTCACTATGGTGGGGAAAGATGGCACAAACACGGATCATTTCTATAGGATGCATGGGGTCTTAAGGCAGCCCAGACAGGTGGTGTGTAATAACATCTCTTCCTTATCACTGCCATTTTTGTCACAGCTCATTACAGATGTCTATCCCTGAGCCTCAGAAGGAGTTATCAGGATCCTTTCAAGGGAAGGGTCTTTGCTGAGGATTAAGTAAAGTGGAGAATGCAGAGGATCAATGGGGGCAGGAATGCTGGAAGAGACAAGTAGAGGTTTCCATCCCTTCTCTTTTCAACCACTGAACAAACTTTTACTGAGAGCTCCTCAGTAGACTGAGCTGACACAGTGCTATGTGCTGTAGATACAGAGATGAATAAAACATTACCCCAGCTCTCTAGGAGCTCAGTCTGGAAAGCAAATAACTGCCAAATGGCCTAAGGAGTGCTGTGGGAGACACATGAATCAAGTCCACAGGCTTCACAAGGGAAAGTGGCCATCACTGCGTGGGGGAGGACCTCAGACTTCCCTGATCCTGTGCTGGCTCTTTTCACAGCTGGATAACCAACCCCAGGCCCGGGACCCTGGGCCTCAGTCAGAATTGAGCCTCCCAGGATCCACCAAGCACCTGCGCTCCCAGCTGGCACAATGCAGACAGCGCTATCAAGATCTTCAGGAAAAGCTGCTGATATCAGAAGCCACTGTCTTTGCCCAGGCCAACCAGCTGGAGAAGTACAGAGTCATGTTCAGTAAGTCTTCAGTTCACATCACCAAAGTGTCTGTCTCCCCCACGAGAAGCTACCTGCTTGGCAGACTTCACTTTTCTTCCCCAGCCTCAAAACAAATTTAATCCTGACCACAGTCGTAGAGTTGTGGAAGTGGATATTTAGCTTCATTTTGCAGATGGCAGAGAAGAATAAAGGAATAAGGCAAGTTTGCAGTAAGAGTGTAGGGAGGAAATGGGTTAACTTCTAGGTTTGCTCATTTGTGGTAGAGTCAACGAACTGCCTTACCCCTCTTAACATATGCTGATGGTTTCTCTTCTGCTCCTCTTTGTACCACATCAGATTCTACAAAAGTACATCATCATTGTTGGTCTAGAATTAGCACTTTCTAATAGAATGTCCTGCAGTGATGGAAATGTTCTATATCTATATCACATGTGGTTATGAAGCACATGAAGTGTGGCTAGTTCAACTCAGGAATTTGAAGTTTTATTTAATGTTAACTTATTTGTTATAAAATAGTAACATGTGGCTAGTAGCTACCTTATTGGACAATGCAGATCTAGATGTCTTGAGACTAAATTAGTTCAACTGCATTCAAACATTTACTGAGCCCTATAAACAAAGCACTTGCTAGTTTCACTGGGGCTTCTAGAGATGATAGTAATACCCTACTGAAAGATGTCTGGTCCCAACTAAGCCTAGGTTATCTGTAGGTGAGACCATCAATGGCAAACAGACTTATCCTGGTGGAGGGAGGTCATGCTGCCTGGAGTGGGTGATCTCTTCTCCAACATGAGTCCAAAGAAGCATCTATCCCACTTTGGATCTCACCTCCCTGCCCCCTGTGGGTGAGGATATGTGCCACCAAGGTTGAGGGTGTATGTGGGAAATTCAGATACCGTATAACACCCTCTGTCTCTTCCTGAGCAGGTGAGTCCTTGGTGAAGCAGGACAGCAAGCAGGTCCAGGTGGACCTCCAGGATCTGGGCTATGAGACTTGTGGCCGAAGTGAGAACGAAGCTGAGCGGGAGGAGAGCCCCAGTCCCGGTAAGAGTACAAGTGTGGGGCTCACCTTCCCTCCCTGGGGTCAGCTTTCATCTCTGGGTGCTGTTGGCCAGTCCCAGACCTGATGAGGAGGGGTGAGGGGGTGTTGTAGACTGAAGGGGACACAGGACCAGAGAGGGACAGGAAGTTTGGAGGAGAACTCTTGCCCCAAATGAGGCTGAGTGTGAGTTTGAATTTCTACAGTTAGTTTTCAGCATACTGCTGTTAATAAAAAAAAAAATTCTATCCAATTGATTATTATAGAAAAAAACATTAAGGCCTACTTATTAATGAAAAGACCAGATGAGCTTTTAGGGATATGCAAACCATAAGTAAAAAAAATTGTTTTTCCATGATAAAAAGACTGTCAAGGGAGTGGCTCCAGCGGCAGGCCCAGCTTTATTCAGGAAGATGCCTTTGTCTTTTCTCAGAGTGTGAGGAGCACAACAGCATCAGGGAAACAGTCCTAATGGAGGGGCCGTGCTCTGAGCAGGGACAGCTGGACTCGACACTGGCCAGCCCCCCTGGGAAGAAGCCCTTGGAGAACCAGCTAGGGAAGCAGGAGGAGTTCCAGGCATATGGAAAGTCAGAAGACATCTCTGTCCTACGTAAGGACATCAAAGATCTGAAGACCCAGCTGCAAAATGCCAACAAGGTCATTCAAAACCTCAAGAGCCGGGTCCGGTCCCTCTCTGTTACAAGCGATTATTCATCTAGTCTGGAGAGACCCCGAAAGCTGAAGGCCGTTGGCATCCTTGGGGGATCTTCACCTCATAGTGTCACTGACGAGGATGAGGGGTGGCTGTCTGATGGCACTGGGGCTTTCTACCCTCCAGGGCTTCAGGCTAAAAAGGATCTGGAGAGTTTGATCCAGAGAGTGTCCCAGCTGGAGGCCCAGCTCCCAAAAACTGGACTGGAAGGAAAGCTGGCCGAGGAGCTAAGATCAGCCTCGTGGCCTGGGTAAGGAGGGCCCTCTTGGGCCCTTACTTGATTGATGTTGTCTAAGTTTGTGTTTGAAGCAGGGTAGCCTGGGCAGGTGGAAGAGAGAACCCTCAGGGCAATCAGAAGAGCCCTTCTTTACATGGTAGACGTAGATCTGAATAAAGGACAGGTAGGCCAGGCCCTCCTGGAGATCCCAGGTCTCTGGGATTTCCTCTTTGGACTCTATTCATAAAGTGACAGGATATGTGGTATAGTAGTGAAACTGGAGTCAGACTGCCTGGATTTGAATCCTAGCTCTGGTACTTACTAGCTGTGCAACCTACTTAGTCTTTCTGAGCCTATTTCCTTACCTATTAGATGAGGATAATGAGAGAACCTATCTCATAGGATGGTTATTAGGTTTAAATGAATTTATACAAGTGCTTATAATAATGCCGAACATATATTAAGCTCTCAATACTATTTGCCATAATTATTATTGTTATTGATACTCTGTGTTGAAAAACACTGGGTAGACTTCCAGGCTGAGTAAAAAACCACCCCAAAGCTTAGTGGCTTCAAAGAATAATTTATGTGGATTGACTGGGCTTAGCTAGGTGGCTCTCGCTTGAGTCTCTCATGCAGCTGCCATCAGATGGTGTCTGGGGCTAGAGTCATCTGAAATGTCTGGCTGTGCTGGACATGGCTTCTTCATTCACATGTCTGGTGACGTGGTGCTCCTTGGCTTCTCTCTTTCTCCATGTGGCTTCTTGTCTTTCAGGACCTCTCTTCCTGGCTTGGGCCTCTCACAGTATGGTGCCTGAGGTAGTGTCACTTCTATGTGGAAGCTGGCTTCCAAGAGACAGGAAGTAAAAGTTGCCAGGCCATTTAAGAGCTACTCCGGGACTTGGCACAGTGTCACTTCCACTATATTATCTTGGTCAGAGTGGTCACAGAGCCTGCTCAGATTTAAGGAGGTGGAGAATAGCCTCTACCTGCTGATGAAAGAGAGGCAGAACCATATTGCAAAAGAGCATGTAGAATGGGAGATTGTGTAATGGCCGTCTTTGCAAAATACAGTCTGCCATAATACAGATGGTCTTTGAGATAGAAGACATGAAAGGTCCTATCCAGACTTAGGATTAGGTGATTCCAATCACTTAATTTATTTTTGGTATTTATTGAGTATCAACTGTGAGTGTCCACTATATTGGTGCTGTAAGGGTTATAAAATATGGCACTGTATTTACCCCCACAGAACTTAACCATTCACTTTGGACATATGACTAACATATATAAAACAGTAGAAGAACAGTGGTATACTAAATTGTTTGATGCAATAGTTTGTCAGAGCAGAATTTACTTTTAAATATCTCCTTTGGTTTATGTGCCAGAATTCAGCTAGGGGGGAGTTCCGTAGAGATATTATCACAGAAATGTCTACGGAAGCCCCCACAACAATTCACTCTTTTCCATTCTTATTCTTTCCTGCATTAGGAAATATGATTCCCTGATTCAGGATCAGGCCCGAGAACTGTCCTATCTACGCCAGAAAATACGAGAAGGGAGAGGTATCTGTTATCTTCTCATCCAGCATGCAAAAGATACAGTAAAATCTTTTGAGGACCTCCTAAGGAGCAATGACATTGACTACTACCTGGGGCAGAGCTTCCGGGAGCAACTCGCCCAGGGAAGCCAGCTGACAGAGAGGCTCACCAGCAAACTCAGCACCAGTAAGTTGGCCACAGGGCTTTGGGACACTCTCGCTCACTCCCACTGCCCCAGGCCCAGGTGGCCGCCACACTTCCACTGCAGCCTTTTAACCCAGGTCCAGCTTCCACTTCATTTCCCAGGGGCCATTACAGGATCAAGGCTGGCCAGTGGGGAGCATCAAGGAGGAAGACACAGGGTTGGAGAAGCCTGTAGAAACTTCAGCACTCAGGGAATTTGACCTTGAGGAAAGCAGGCTGTGTCCATCCAGTGCTAGGGGAGAAAGAGAGAAGAGATTGAAGAGAAGAGATTATAGGACCTTTTATAGTGAAAAGCGCCTTAAGCTGAGACTTGCAAGACCCAAGCTCTAGCCTGGATACTGCCATTAACTTGCTTTGGGCAAATGGTTTATCCTTTTGGTGTCTCTGTTTCTTCATGTTTTGCATGGTATCATACATGAATGTAATCAAATATGAATAAAGTACCATGCTCTTTTGGACATGGTTTAGGCATGAATGTCATAGTACAAGGGCTAGGGATGTTGGTTATTATTGGAGCCCTTTATTTAGGAATAATTTCCTGAGAGCATCCCAGGGAGTACAGCAGGATCTGTCTTGGGGGCCAAACATCCCATGTCTTGGTGGCAGGTGCAGAGGTGGGACGGGGCTGTTTTGTCATCTCCTGAAGGCAAGAGTGGGTTCTACATGAAAGCGTGAAAGCTGTGATGGGACACAGAGCTGTACGTCTGGGAGTCCGTCTGTGTCAGGCTTGGAGGCTGGAATGTTGCAGAGAGAAGCTGGGCAAGTGCCTTTTAAACTTTTTTGCATTGATTTAGGGCAGAGGAAGTCATGATGGTAATCACTAGGTCAGGGAAGGTCAGCCAGGTGAGCTAAGGAGAGCCTGCAGGTCTCTTCTCTAAAGACACAATCTGGGACCTCTCAGAATAATTCCTCCACATATCCTGGACACACATAGAGTCGTCACTATTCTGTACCCAAGTAGGCTTCTGCATTTATGTGTGAAGTGGGACCTGTTTAATTTCTTACTATTTCTTTCTGAATTTGGTTTGCAGAGGATCATAAAAGTGAGAAAGATCAAGCTGGACTTGAGCCACTGGCCCTCAGGTAATTCAAAACAGGATTGGTAAAGGAATCAGGAACAAGGCCCAAAAGGGGGTCAAGGGTGGCTGCAACTTCACAAATCAGGGAGTAAAAAAAGGAAAATGCTGATTGTAATGAATTCATTTCTTCATGGAACACCTTAGTGGTGTTTTTACCTTAATTCTTTACTCTCTTTTGGTATAATTCTGTTGATTTCTATTTGCATATTTATTCTCCAGGCTTAGTAACCTAGAGTCAGTCTGTCCTAAACTAGCCAGGTTTCCGGGGTCCTTGGCATCCCCAAGGTTCTCCTCTGCTCTTCCCTGTGTGTTTCAAGACCTGGGTGTGCTTTTTGCCAAGATGCCTTACCCAGTGCTGAGTTGGCATGTAGTTTAATAGCCACCCAATTTCTTTGGGAAAGAAGAATCATATTATTCTGGAATACAGCCCTGGGGGGTATTTGGAACCTCCTCAGTTTTCAATGAGTCACTGCATAGAATCTCATAATGTGCAAAAAAATGTGGGCTCAGAGTCCATTGTGGCCACTAGATCTAGCCCCTTTGTGTTATGAGTGTGCTTTAGACCACATAGTGCTTCTCAAAATAGCTGTGGTGAAGGACCAGGTGTTTTGATTTTGTTTTCATTTCTACTCCATCACAGACACATACATGATCTGTTCCTCAATCAACCAGATGATTCCACTTACTGTGCTCTCGAATGTTGTGGCAATGCCAACTGCTATATGTGTTTCAACCCTTACCTCCAGTTTCTGTACTTGTCTTGTTGGAGACTGGTAATCAACAGTTCTTAGGCTGCAGCTGTACTGGGGACCACACTTGAAGCAACAGTATGTTAGATGGCTGGCTGAGTTTCTGCTAGTCCTCAGCGTATCGTGCGGCCAGTGCACTGGGTAGCTGTTGCTCCCCCTCCCTCCGCACCCCACCCCTAGTCAGAGATGGGTTATTTCGATTATTCTTTGCAGGAATGATCCCCTTGGCTTATGTGGCTTTTCCCATGTGCCTTAGTCAGGAGTAGCTGACTTGGTGACCTTGGTATCACCTGCTGTCCTCCCTTACCCCACTAGGCTCAGCAGGGAGCTGCAGGAGAAGGAGAAAGTGATTGAAGTCCTGCAGGCCAAGCTGGATGCCCGGTCCCTTACGCCCTCCAGCACCCACGCCTTGTCTGACTCCCACCGCTCTCCCAGTAGCTCCTCCTTCCTGAGTGATGAACTGGAAGCCTGCTCTGACATGGATGTAGCCAGCGAGTACACACACTATGAAGAGAAGAAAGCTTCACCTGGTCACTCAGGTAGCCTCCACTTTCTGAGTGGTACCACCTTTATCTAGGCTGAGAGGAGACTTCCATGACCAGGGCTTATAGATCCACCCTGGTGTGTATCAGGCTGAACACAGCTGTGGGACCAAGTGCGAAGCACAGGCCCCAGTGGGTCAGGATCTTTGCTCTGCATCTGACTCTGTAAGTTACTGGGTCTCCACTGGCATGTGCATGCTGTTGGACCCAAGGCAAGCCTAAATACGGAGAGTGAGAAGATCATGGCAGACTTTTCTTCCCCAGTTCCTCATGAGCACAAATCTGTCTGACCGACCTCCTTCTTTAAGATGGGATATCTTCTCCCTCTTGCAATGATCTTGCTGGCTGTAGTTCCTGAACAGTGTCCCCTGAGTGTCTGTGGGTGTCCACAGGTGCTGCCGGTCTTGCCTGGTATTTTTGGAAATGCCATTGCTCTGAGCCCCACTATCACCTCTAAGGTGGCTTGTTCACTAAAGGAGCCGTCTGCAAGCAAGGAAGTGAACACTGCTCACAGTGCTTGTGCTTGGTGCTTTCCCTGAAAGCAAGGCTCTGCCTGGTCCCCCTGGTTAAATATAAGATTCCAGTTCTTTGTAGAATGTGAAACATTTTTTTTCATTCATGGCTTTTATAGATTCCATGTACCATTCGACTCATTCTGCTGTACTATCTTCTAAACCATCAGCAACCAGTGCACCTCAGGGGGTTAAGGCCGAACCCAGCAGCAACCCCATCAGCTTGCCAGCTCCCCAGAACCCCCCCAAGGAGGCCAGCCAGGCCAAGCCAGGTATGCAACAGCCAGTCGGGCAGGGGCTTCATCTCCTCTCCCCAGCTGCCTGTTTGACATTTCTACAGGGACAAATGTTTCCCCTGTTAGGGGCTTATATGCCTCAAATTCTAGACAAAATCAAGAGACTACTCTAATTTGCTAATTGCATCTAACTGTTCTTTGGTTTAAATATTTTAAAAAAATAAGTAATCCACAACAGACTTTGATCTGCATACCAATTTTGACCAGTACTTGGCTAATCGTTTTAAAGTAAACATTTTCATTTCTTTCTCTCATTTCATCCCAGGGAGTAAAGAGCAAAATGTTTCTCTCAGGATTACAGTAGACAAAGAACAAAAAGAAATTCACATCTACTGCTCCCCTATACATGTTACCCATTTAATGTGCACAGCAGCCACTGCAGTAGGTGGGGCTGCTTACTTCATAGCTGAGGATGTTTCCATATCGTCAGTCGGACAAGATTCTGCTCATAAGATGTTCTCATTCATGGATTTATGAATGGGCTGGCAGTCCTTGACATGTACATGGTGTGTATCCTGGGGCCAATTATAGAGTATTTCATTTACCTGCCTCAGCTTAGTTGCCAGGGGGTGCGCTGTTCAATCGCAGCTCCCCACCAGAGCTGGCAGGGAAAGGGCAAACCTTGTCCTCGCCTCCTACCCCCCACCACGACTGGCTGGTTGTCTTCAGTATTCTTTGTGGTGAGGTCGGACTCGTGTAGAGGTGCCCCAGAAAGCACAGTGCTTGCCTGCTGGCCACCCCTGTCTCTCCTGAGGACAAGTCAACCAAAATCACAAGGAAGAGGATGTGTCCGACTCTTCCTGAGTCTGGGCTCAAAGTGTCTAGGCCAGAGTAGACAGCAGCTAGACCAGGAAAACAGGGGGAAAAGCTGTCCCCCAAGCGCTATAGGCATCTGCATAAATGCTTTGGGGTCACAGAGTAGAAGGCCAAGGGTAATAAAATCAGAATCCTTCCCTGAAGGATGCCTGGGCTTGTCACTTGGCAATTTGGGTGTCTTTGCAGTACTGCTCTGACACCGTGTCAGCATCCTGGGGCAAGGGATGTGTTTTAGAGTGTCATCATTGTCTTCCATGTTAGACATTGTCCACAGGTCAGTCTTGGTTTCTGCTCCCTCCATGGGCTACCTGCCTTAGAAATGTTTTTAGGAAAGAGGAGACAGATTCAGACGTCAGAACTTTCCAAGTTTCCTAAAAAGCTGTCTGTAAATGAGCTGCAAAATGATCACCTGTGAAGATTTTTTAAAATGCAAATTTCCTAGTCTGACTCCCAGAGTTTATGATTCAGTAGGTCTGCATTAGGGCCTGAGAATCTGCATGTATTGAGAATTTTTCCAAAGTGATTCAAATGCCCAGACAGGTTTGTAAGCCACCGTGTCTAAGTCACTTCGCCAAGGTCTCTATTTTTCCTTTGGTAAATGAACACATTGATTTGGGATTCTGAAGTTTGTTTCCATCAGAGTCTTGAATTGCATGCGTTGGTAATGCAAATTTCCCCACAGTCCTAGTCCACTCCTGCCCTCTTCAGGGTGAGCCCTGATTCTTTCATACGAGGAGTTCTAGGTGTAGGGAGAGTCTTGTCACAGGGGCAAGGACTGGCACATGCTGGGAGCAGCACCACAGGGCCCTTGAGAGCATCCAGGCACAGCTGTCCTGACCTATCCATGCCCCGGATGGCTGGGATGGGGCTCTGACGGCTGCCTGGGTTACAGTTAGGCCACCTTGCCTTCTGTAGCCAATTGTTTTCCAGATGAGCGTAGAATGTGTATGCAGGATAGCCCTGCCAGGCTAGAAGGAGGAGGGGTCAGCCAGGCCAGCCTCTCGGGTAGCAGTGATCGCCCTCAGCCATGGCAACGATCACTCTTAGCCATCCCGGCAGCACCGTCTAGAATGATAGCTACTCCCCAAGGAGACATCTGGTCAGGGAATAGTTTCACCTTCTCAGTCTGTCACTCATTCTTTTCTCTTACTTTCTCCCTAATGATGTGTCTCCTTTCTCCCCAACTTTCTCTTTCTAGGCCTTCATTTTCCCTCCATACCCACACTGGTTAGCCTCTCCCAGGCACCACTGCCCTCAGCTCCACCCAGCTTCCTGCCTTTCAGCTCTGCTGGCCCTCCCCTCCCTGCCTGCTGTGAGACACCTGTGGTCTCCTTGGCCGAGGCTCAGCAGGAGCTGCAGATGCTGCAGAAGCAGTTGGGAGAAAGTGAGCACTTCCTGCTGCATTTGTGTGCTTGCGAATGGCAGCCCTGCCCCGAGTTGCTCTGCATGGCTTTGGCTTGATGGCAGAATTTTAAAACACAGCAGAGGGGTACATGTAACCAGTGGACGACTGAGGGGTAGCTCTGCTTGCTTTTCCTGGAAGTGTATTTACTGTTATCTTTCTGGTGTGTGTGTCTCATCAGTTAACTGGTATATATGTTCATCGGGCCCTGGACCTGGTCCTCTCCCATTGCTCCCACTGTAGGGTACCATCAAGTATGCTGAAGCCCTGACACACTGGTGACGTGTTTACTGGCAGGGTGAGGGAGAGAGCTTGTGTGCCTTGCCTATGCAGGGTGAAGTGGCCATGAAAAAGATGGCCACATTCAGTGGGATCGTTTCCACACCTACTATATCCTCTTGCTGTGAAATGCTTTTAATCAGGTTCAGATCCTGCCATCATCAGGTTGGGGCAAAAAAGGTGGTGGTAGAGGGATTCAGAGGGGATGACAAAGCCACTCTTCCTGTTGGATAAGGTTCATTTCTGCCCCTGGACATGTGACTCATGGTCAGCTAGACCCAGAATCACAGGCTGTGATGCCTGATTGTGAATTTTGTCCTCTGACTCCCAGAGATAACTGATCTTATGTAGTCACAGAATTCATAGACTGTGCACAGTCATCTTTTAGAAAAGGGTTTGATGTATATGTGGGCTGGATGCCTTCTCATAAAAATTTTTTGTGTGTGATCACTTATAGCTTAGAAAAAATAAGAAAAGAACCTCATATGATGAATTTGCTCTCTGGCAGTGCTTTAAAAAAACAACATCTATAAAGCAGTCTGAAATTACCTTAAAACCCCATTCTGTGCCTGTAGAGAAGCTCGGGTGAGCCAGATATTGATGGTAAGGGTCACCACGCAAAGGGTGTCCAGTGACCTAAGACCACAGCCCAAAATCTGTATACTTGAAGCCCCAAATGTCAGGGCCAGCATATTTCTTTTGTCAGCCCTGAAAATGGATACACTGTCTACTCTGCCCGCTGTTTGATTTCCAGAACCAGATAGACTAAGCCTGTCTTTAGGAGAGTTTGTACATCTTCCTTTCGGCAGGCAGTGAAGTCTTAAGAGGCTACCTCTTCTGCTTGTCAGCTTTACAGGGGCATGGCAATCTAGGCTTACCTAGCAACATGAACCTGGTCTCACCTGAGCCTCACAAAACTTTCATAGTAGGTAGAACCAGAGCAGGGAACTGAGGCTCAAGGAAGTGAAGTTACTTGCTCAAGGTCACTTGTAAGTGGGATAGAGGGTCGAATCCAGGTCTTTTGCTCCCAGTTCCATGTTTCCGTTACACTTTTCTACCCAAAGAGATTTTGTTGACATCCTGCTCAGAGCATGGAGCTGAACAAACTCGGGAGGCCCCTAGCAACCGTCTTTTCTCTCTCTCTTTAGAGACCAGTGGAAGGTGCTTGTGTCTCCGAGCTAGAACTTGTTATTATAGCAGTTCTGGAACCAACAGCTGATGGATAATAAATTTGTCTCATGGCAAAATGGCAAGAGTGTTCTCTAGATTCCTTTTCTTTCCCCTGCCTCCTTTTCCTGTATCTTTCCACATTTGTCAATTTGTCTTTGTCCCAAGGGAAAGATGGAAGGAGAGCATTGGGCATGAAAAAGGGTCTGTTGATGTGAGTTGAACTGGAGTCATATCTAGTCTGAGCCAGTGACCAGAGTTTCGATGGTCCCAGCCTTGGTAAGGAAGGTTGTAGCCCTTTCTTTTCTCTCCTGAAGTACCGCCTTCTCCAAGGGACCAGCGCTTACCAGCACGCCTTGTTTGCTTTGAACCAAGTGGACAGTGGTGCATGGCAGCTTCTCAGGCCACTGTGGGGCTAAAATCTCTGTGTGCAAGAGTCTTCCCGGTGTCTGTGCATGGTTTAGGGCACGTGCTCTGCATTATGTGACCAGGGGAGAGTGGAGTAAGAGAATACTGACCACTGCTACTGGTAGACTCGGAACCTCCTAAGACCGTGGTTAAAAAGTAAGCTGACTGTCGACAACCATGACTGATTTGCCCCTTTGCTTTGTGTTGTGGTGGAGTTGAAGCAGGTGCAAAAGAGGTAGGAAATCACATCTTTATTAAATCCCAACTAAAATTTAGATGCCTATTGGGGCCGGCCTGGTGGTGCAAGCGGTTAAGTGTGTGCGCTCTGCTGCGGCGGCCCGGGGTTCGCCAGTTCGGATCCCGGGCGCACACTGACGCACTGCTTGGCAAGCCATGCTGTGGCGGCGTCCCATATAAAGTGGAGGAAGATGGGCATGGATGTTAGCCCAGGGCCACTCTTCCTCAGCAAAAATAAAAAAAGAGGAGGATTGGCAGATGTTAGCACAGGGCTGATCTCCTCACAAAAATAAAATAAATTTAGATGCCTACGTTTTTCATCTCCCTCTTTAACTCCCAGTGACCCTAATGAATACCTGATATTTTGCAAATTGTGGAAGGAGAGACCCATGAGAATACCTCTCAAACTCTTCTGCCTATTAGAATCAGTTGGGATGATTCTAGCGCCCAAGCTGTACCCGATACCCATTAAGGCAAACTTACTGGGGGTCCAAGCATCAGTATATTTTTTATTACATTGTCCCGGGTGATTCTAGTGTATAGCCAAATTGGAAAACCAGTTATAAATCGGGACAAAAATTGGCCTGTGCCAATTGCATTGACCCCTCCGAGACATTTGACTTGGTTGGAGGAAACAATGACCTCGCTCCTATTTGCTTAGGTGGAGCTACCTGTTTACTCTGCTGCCTATGTTGATAATCTCTGAAAGAAAGTAGTCTTCTGAATATTAATATCCTAAACTATGGCCCCATCCTCTCTCCCTTTCTCCCCTAGTTGGGCTTCTTTTTACATAGCAGCAGACATGATGTGACTCAATGGAAAGCCCATGATTTCATAGGATCTATGAAAGCATCAGACTATGAAATGAAATATCCTACCTCCCTCCATTGACAAATATTCAGTGAGTCTTTAGACAGGAGAGATGACATTTTGCAGTTCCTTGAATCATGTTGGGTGAGATCCAAATCACCACTGGCCTTACATGGAACCTCCCCAGCCTCAGCAAAGAGTTCTTCAGTCGGAGGAATTGGGGCCACTATGTTTAGCTGGATTTCATGCTCCATTTCTCCTCTGACAGCCGCAAAGGAGAGACGGAAAAACTGGCTGGTTAGCTTCTGGGGGAGGCAAGTACTGAGGGAAAAACAAATATTCCTGTTCATAAGAATGCTCAGTGCTACATCCCATCACACTTTTGACCTCTGACTTTGGAAGTGAGTTGTACTTCTGGAACTTCCCTGGACTCTATCATGAGGAATTACAGTCGGACCCAGGAGTGGGGCCTCTGGACTTTTCCTTTGTGTACACTGGGGACTTTCAGATACTTATTCATTTCCTACCTCTTGGTGTCTTACGCTACCAAATACATGGAGTGAAAGTTATAGCCTCTAGGTTATGAGTCTTCATCTAATTGGTGTTCCACAGTGGACTGGGATCTCTGACATCCCACATGTCCCCTTTAGCGTCTGTTCTTAGCAATCACATGCTTCCTTGACTCACATCTGGAAGTGGTAGGAGAGGCCTAGGTCTTCCTGTTTCTGGCCTTAATTAGGGAGTTTCTGAAGAGAGGGCCCTTAGGCAGAGCTTCGCAGTTTTCAAAGCACTTCCTTGTTGATCCTTCCCTTCTGATACTGTGCTTCTGACTCATGTTTCTTTCTGCCCAGGTGTCAGCACCGTCCATCCTCCTTCCCCAGCTATGTTGCCAAGCAACCATTTAGAAGCCAGCTCTTCCCACTACCTCAACTCTGCCCTGCCCCACTCTCCTCTGAGGGGCACCATACCACTGGGCGGAATCTTGGAGCCTGGGTACCTGGGCCGCAGTGGCCAGTGGGATGTGATGAGGCCTCAGAAAGGGAGCATGTCTGGGGACCTATCCTCAGGCTCCTCCGTGTACCAGCTTAACTCCAAACCCACAGGTAAAGCACAGAGCTAAGCGGGTCAGCCTGTGAAATGAAGTTTCATTTACAGTCCACCCCCGTCCTACCTGGGCAGGGCCCTTTTCATTCCTCTGCTAGTCCCTGGCTCACAGAGTAGGGATAAAATGACAAGGCCATGTCTGTGCTCAGTCCTTTCTAAGGCATCCCTTCATCCCCCTCTGCAAGGCCTCGGAGCTCTGCAGGGGCCCAGGAATGTCAGGGACCCATTTCTGTGCTCTCACATTCACCCTGCATCCTGATCCCCTCCCAGCCTACTCTTAGACCCTTCCAGAATTCCAGGCACCAGTGTTCACAGGACATTCTTCCCTCTGTCAGGAGTTACAGAAAGGGAGGCTGTTTCTACCCAGCTCTTCACCCCATAAGTATATCCTGTGTACAAAACCCAGTTCAGTCTTTCCCTCTCACTCCTAGCTCTCCCAGTCAGGGCCAAGAGACGTTGTACCAGTTGGAGAGGTGGAGCTATACAGGTGCATGCTGGGATTCAGCTCAGTTCCAATAGTAACACAGTTGTAATCTTCAGAAAAAGACTGTGCCCAAAGCAAAATGGTGCAGCTGATGTAGTCTGTCATTAGCACCCCTCCCACTTCTCTTTTCTGCATCTTTTTTCTTTCTTTGGCGATGCTTTCTCCTCCTGGCTAATCAGCCTTCAGTCCCTCAATCAGTGCAGGCTCTCCTCTCTTCCTTCCATATTAAAAGTGAGTTGAGGGAGGCATTCAGGGGCAGTCTTTAACCACCGAGGATGAGTTTATATTCATGTCCTTTTACCTGAGGCCTCCTCTCTAAGGGTGGAGGAAGGGTCTGTCCCTTGCTAAAGAACATTCAGTCAAGTGTTGAACGAGGAAAGGTATTAGGGCAGGAGGAGACCTTCCCTATCACATGGAAAGTCACACTCAGTAGGTGGCCACACCTCTCCAGATGCTGGGCTGATGTCCACAGCCTTCACTTATTTTTCTCAACCATGTGGAACTCCCTCACACTTATACTGACAACTCCATTACACGTACCATGTATGGGAGGAGGCCCAGGGGCTTGCTTAGCACTAGGCTGTCCTGGGTTTGAAAGCCAATTACTTGTTAAACAAAGTTACCCATGTTCCTGGGTGCCCGTCAGAGAGGAGCAGTTGGCAGAAGGATGGTGATGTTTAGGGATCTTGCTGAGAGGCCAATAGCCCAGCCCCAACCCCCATGTGGACCCCACTAGTGACCAGGATTCCCCATCTCCCACTTCTCTCTTGTCCTGGTGGGATGGCTGCAGGGGCTGACCTGCTAGAAGAGCATCTTGGTGAAATCCGGAACCTGCGCCAGCGCCTGGAGGAGTCCATCTGCATTAACGACCGCCTGCGGGAGCAGTTGGAACACCGGCTCAGCTCCGCTACCCGTGGGAGCGGGAGGAGCGGCCCAGGTCATTCTGTTTCTGGTCATGATCAGGGAGCTTCTGAAGGGAGGGCCCTTGCGCAGAGCTCTGGAGTTTTCTAAGCACTTTGGTGGGCTTTACTCCCCCTGCTCCTTACACACAGTCCAGCATGGCTGGTGGGGCAGGTATATTGTCCTCATTTGGTAGAGGTATCTGAGCTCAGACAGTAACCTCCTCACTGCAGACCTACCAAGTCTGGTCCCCAGATTCGTCTGACTTCTTATGCCATCCCTAATCTGCTCATACACTGCCTGCTGAATTCCCTGTGCCCTTGTCCTGTGATTGGATCGGCAGAGGCCTCCCCTAACCACTTCACCAAGTGGCCTTTCTCCCCCCACTCCCCTCCCAGGCTGCTGTCACTTGGAAGCCGTCCCTTCCCTACACCCGTGTCCTGCCCACACTGCAGCAGCAGCTATTTGGGGAAGGAGACTCCCGAACAAGTGCAACCAGGACGTGACAATACACGCAAAGAGCCCAGTGAGAAGAGGCACAGGAAAAGCAGGCATTTGGCCCTTAAGGCTTTAGGCTCAGGCCTCAAGTCCCTGGGGGTTTCTGCCAGGTTGGGACAGTATCTGTGGGAGATACAGAATGGGTAACTTTGAAAGCATCTGTTACCCAAATGTGTAACTTGCCTGCTTGCACTTTCCGGAACAGGATCCACCTCTAACTTCTACAGTCCAGGCCTGGAGTCCACCCCTCAGCTCTACAATGAGAACAGAATTCTTAGGGAGGAAAACCGGAGCCTTCAGGCTCAGCTGAGTCATGTTTCAAGAGGTCGGTGGTCAAAGCCACAAACTGTGGTCACTCTCGGGTCCCTTTCTACCCTGGCCACACTAATCACCAACTGGAGAAGCAAAGAGCGAAGGTGGAGATAACAGAGCTACCCAGATCTCCAGCCACAAGTTCCCATAGCTATTCTCAGTCTAGAAAGGGCTGCTTCCTGAGAGGTCCCAACCACAGGCCCTCAGACCCCTAGGCTCTGGCGATGAATAGCTCTAGGGATTCCACTCTTCTGTGCAAACCCGCCTGCAGAGAGTCAGAGTCATTTGCTGTCAGACTGGGTACCAGGGAGGTATCTGTCCTACCTCCCTTCAGTTCTAGCTGATTTGGACCCAGGAAAGGAAGGAACATGCATGCCTATATTCCCTGTCAAGGTTCTCCACACTTTACTTCAGCTCTGTGTTTCCCTCCCAGTTCTGCTCAGCCATCCCCATATCTCTCACCACCTCTGCTCACTCACATACTCAGGCTCCTCGCTCATCAGTCCTTATGACTCTGTATTTGGGGGTGCCAGCAAAGTGTTCTTCAGAGCTTTCCCTGCCCTATCATTGGGCATCCATGGGTGGGCATCATTTCCTGTGCAGCCTGGGGGCCAGCTGACCTTAGTGTTAATTGAGTTGATCAAATCAATACATTATCAGTTAGAAATTATTTTTATTTAGAAACATCTATTGAATCTCCATAAAAGACTAAGAATAGTGTCCAAAAGGATTAAGAATGCTAGTGTAAAAGGATAAAGACTTCAAGATATATTTCTAAATTGGCCACCTCAGAGCAGGAAGATGTGAGAGGAAAGGTCAGTCACTGTTTTGGGAACATAACAAAAGTTAACAGATAAGATAGAAGACAGGACTACTAAACTACCATTGCATGCCTGGAAAGACTAGAACAGACCTCGCCAGTGAGAAGACAGAAAGATTTAAATGAGCACAATCTGCCAGGCCCAGGTGCATTCCATCCCAGACGACTGACAACACCTGCAGCCTTATCCTCAGAGTCTCTGTCAGTAGTCTTTGAGAAACCATGAAGGTCTGAGAGATGCCACAAGCCCGAAAAGAATACATTCTCAGTTTTCAAAATGATGAAAATAATATATTCTAAAAACTGTAGACAAGAAATCTTGATGTTGATTTTTTGCAAAATTCAAGAATGGACTACTGCACCAGAGGGTTTGTGAACACTTAGAAAAGAGTAAGTGTTAAGTGACATCAGCGTTTTGGCAAAGTGAGTTGTTCCCTTTGTCTTCCCCTCTAAGTTACAACTAAATGGACATCCATTAGACAACAGAGAACTCCCTACACAGCACACAGGACGCCTGAGAGATCCAGGCAGCTATACATCTGAAGGTGGGTGGACTGGACCCCTGGGAAGCAGTGGAACTAAGGGAGCATATCCCTCCCCATCCCTGATGGCAGTGATCCACATTGCGGATCCTCACACAGCAGCTGGCGTGACTGTGGGTGGAGGTGCGTCAGCCTGGCCTGCACATGATTGCTTTCAGAGTGGGAGCCTGGCCTGTGGTTGTACTTCATACTGTGCTGGGCTTGCCTGCATGAAAACTCTCCACTGAGTGTTGGCGGCTCAGCCAGCATGAAGGTGCCCCACCCACTGAGTGCAGCAGCATGGCTGTGTGAGCAGAACTTTTCGAGCTGCTGTGGCCAGCCCGTGTGAACGGAGATTGGACCAACTGGCACAAGTATAAGCACATGGGGTGGGAACAGAAAGCACAACCCTGCCGCCCCCCAGAGGTGGCAGGTGGAATCTGTGGCCAGAAGCAACAGGAACCACAGTACAGCCTGTGACCCTGCCCCCAGTGGTGGCAATGCCGACACGAGCTGCACCAGCAGCAGAGGCTCTGTACAAGTCCCAGGGTCCCCAGGCCCCCACTAGCTACAGTAACACCTGTGAACCCAGCACCCCTAACAGCAGTGCATCCAGCACCCCAAGACAGGAACAGCAGGAACCCCAGGAACAGCAGTGCAGGTGGTGCATGGGACAGCAGCATCTGAGCCCACAGAGACCCAGTGGAGGAGCATGAGAGCCAAGTGACCAGAACCAAAGTAACCAAAGCTGTACTCAAATAAGAAAAGGTAACTACTACCACAAATATACTGGCAGAGCATCAATTCATGAGGACTAATGGTAACACTGCAGAAAAGAAGGAAAATGACAACCCTCCAGAAACCAAGCCTGAAGTCACAGAAGATTACAACATAAATGACAGAGAATTCAAAATAGCTGTCATAAAGAAACTTAACGAGTTACAAGAAAACACAGAGAGTGCAATGAGCTCAGGAATAAAGTTAATGAATAGAAGGAATACTTCACCAAAGACATTTAAGCCCTTAAAGAAAACCATACAGAAATTCCAGATATGAAGAACACTATTAATGTGACAAAAAATAATGTAGAAAGCATAAAAAAATAGAGCAGACCTTATGGAGGAGGAAGTGAGTGACCTGGAAGGTAGAAATCTAGAAAGTCTTCAGGTGGAGGAGGGGAGAGAACTAAGATTTTTTAAAAAAAGGAAATCCTTTGAGAAATAGCCAACTCAATTTGGAAAAGTAATATGAGGATTATAGGCATCACAGAGGGAGAAGAGTTGGGGAAAGGAGCAGAGAGCTTGTTCAAAGAAATAATAGCTGAGAACTTCCCAAACCTGGGCAAGGAACTGGACATACAAGTACATGAAGCCAATAGAACTCCTAACAAAATCAATGCAAAAAGACCTTCTCCAAGGCATATAATATTAAAACTGTCAAAAGCCAATGACAAAGAAAAAATATTAAGGTCAGCAAAGCAGAAGACAATAACCTACAAAGGAACCCCTATCAGGCTCTCAGCAGATTTCTCAGCAGAAATCTTACAGGCTAGGAGAAAATGGAATGATATATTCAAAATACTGACTGACAAAAACTATCAGCCAAGAATACCCTATCCAGTCAAACTATCCGTCAGATATGATGGAGAAATAAAATCTTTCCCAGATAAACAAAAGCTGAGGGAGTTCATTGCCACTAGACCTGCCTTACCAGAGATGATGAAGGTAGCCCTCCCAGCTGAAACTAAAAGGCAAAGGTTTACACAGCTTTGAGCAAGGAAGTAAATAGACAGACAAAATCAGAAAATTGCAGCTGTCTATCAGAATAGGTTTGCAAACAATTATAACATAAAAGATAAAGGAAAAGAAAGCGTCAAAAATAACTGTAAACACTTCAATTTAGCCACCAACTCACAACAAAAAAAGAAGAATTTGTGACAACAATAACACTGAAGGGGAAGAGGAAAGAGATTGAACCTGCTTAGACTAATGGAGAGAAGAGGCTATCAGAAAATGGACTATCTCATCTATGAGATCTTTTTTACAAACGTCATGGCAACTACTAAACAAAAAATCAGAGCAAAGTGACAAACCATAAATTAAGAGAATACTGAGAAAACCATCACAGAAAACCACCAAACTGAAATGGCAGTCAGAAACACAAGTGAAAAGAAACAATGGAAACATAGAACAACTGGCAAACAAGAGATAAAATGGGAATATTAAGCCCTCATATATCAATAATCACTCTACATATAAAAGGATTGAATTCACCAATCAAAAGACACAGAGTGGCTGGATGGATTAAAAAAGCAAGACCGAACAATATGCTGCCTCCAGAAAACACATCTGAGCTCTAAAGACAAGTATAGGCTTAGAGTGAAGGGATGGATGATGATACTCCAAGCAAATGGCAAGCAAAACAAAGCAGGTGTAGCCATACTTATGTGAGACAGAACAGACTTCAAGATAAAAAAGATAATGAAACACAAAGAGGAGCGGTATATAATGATAAAATGGACATTCCACCAAGAGGACATAACACTTAAGAATATTTATGCACCTAACACAGGAGCACCAAAGTATATAAAGCAACTATTAACAGACCTAAAGGGAGAAATTGACAGCAACACAATAATAGTAGGGGATCTAAACACTGCACTTACATCAATGCATAGATCATCCAGACAGAAAGTCAATAAGGAAAGAGTGGCCTTAAATGAAACACTAGACCAGATGGACTTAATAGATATATATAGAACATTCCATCCAAAAACAGCAGAATACACATTCTTCTCAAGTGCACATGGAACATTCTCAAAGATAGACCATATGTCGGGAAACAAGGGAAGCTTCAATAAATTGAAGAAGATAGAAATCATATCAACCATTGTTTCTGATCACAATGCCGTGAAACTAGAAATCAACTACAAGAAAAAATCTGGTAAAATCACAAATATGTGGAGACTGAAAATATGCTATTGAACAACCACTGGATCAATGAAGAAATCAAAGGAGAAATCAAAAAATACCTGGAGACAAATGAAAATGAAGGCACAACGTACCAACTCTTATGGGATGCAGCAAAAGCAATACTAAAAGGGAAATTCATAGCAGTATAGGCCAACCTCAATAAACAAGAAAAATCTCAAATAAGTAATCTTAAACTACACCAAAAAGAACTAGAAATAGAAGAACAAACAAAGCCCAAAGTCAGCAGAAGGAGGGAAATAATAAAAATCAGTTCAGAAATAAAAGAAATAGAGACTAAAAAAACAATAGAAAGGATCAATCAAAGTAAGAGCTGGTTCTTTGAAAAGAGAAACAAAATTGACAAACCCTTAGCCAGACTCACTAAGAAAAAAAGAGAGAAGATTCAAATAAATAAAATCAGAAATGAAAGAGGAGAAATTACAATGGATACCATGGAAATACAAAGAATTGTAAGAGAATACTATGAAAAGCTATATGCAACAAACTGGATACCCTAGAAGAAATGGATAAATTCTTAGAATCATACAATGTCCCAAAACTGAATCAAGAAGAAATAGAGAATCTGAATAGACCAATCACAAGTAGAGAGATTGAAACCGTAATCAAAAACTTACTAAAAAGCAGAAGTCCAAGACCGGATGGTTTCTCTGGTGAATTCTACTAAACGTTCAAAGAAGATTTAATACATATCCTTCTCAAACTATTCCAAAAAATTGAAGAAGACAGGACACTTCCTAACTCATTCTACAAGGCCAACATTACCCTGATATCAAAACTGGATAAGGACAACACAGAACGGGAAAATTACAGGTCAATATCCCTGATGAACATAGATGCAAAAATCCTCAAAAAAATATTAGCAAATTGAATATAGCAATACATTAAAAGGATCATACACCATGACCAAGTGGGATTTATACCAGGAATGCAGAGATGGTTCAAGATCTGCAAATCAATCAAAGTGATACACCACATTAACAAAATGAGGAATAAGTCACATGATCATCTCAATGCAGAGAAAGCATTTGACAAGATCCAACACCCATTTATGATAAAAACTCTGGATAACATGGGTATAGAAGGAAAGTACCTCAACATAATAAAAGCCATATATGACAAACCCACAGCCATCATCATACCTAATAGTGAAAAATTGAAAGCGATTCCTCTGAGAACAGGACCAAGACAAGGGTGCCCACTCTTGCCACCCTTATTCAACATAGTGCTAGAAGTTTTGGCCAGAGCAACAAGGCAAGAAAAAGAAATAAAAGGGATCCAGATTGGAAAGGAAGAAGTGAAACTCTTGCTGTTTGTGGACAACATGATCTTATATATAGAAAAGCCTAAAGAATCCACCAGAAAACTACTAGAAATCATAAAAACTACAGCAAAGTTGCAGAGTACAAAATCAACTTATCAGTTGCATTTCTATACACATAATAATGAACGAGTGAAAAAGAACTCAAGAATACAATCCTATTTACAATCACAAGAAAAAGAATAAAATATCTCGGAATAAATTTAACCAAGGAGATGAAAGACCTATACATTGAATAGTATAAAACATTCTTGAAAGAAATTGAAGATGACAAAAAGAAGTGGAAAGATATTCCATGACATGGATTGGAAGAATAAACACAGTTAAAATGTCCATGTTACCTAGAGCACTCTACAGATTCAATGCAATCTCTATCAGAATCTCAACGACATTTTTCATGGAAATGGAACAAAGAATCCTAAAATTTATATGGACAAACAAAGACCCCAATAGCTAAAGCAATCCTGAGAAAAAACAACAAAGCTAAAGGCATCACAATCCGTGACTTCAAAATAGACTGCAAAGCTATAGTAATCAAAACAGCATGATACTGGCAGAAAAACAGAGATCAATGGAACAGAATTGAAAGCCCAGAAATAAAACCATGCATCTATGGACAGCTAATATTCAACAAAGGAGCCAAGAACATACAATGGAAAAAGGAAAGTCCCTTCAATAAATGGTGTTGGGAAAACTAACAGCCACATGCAAAAGAATGAAAGTAGACCATTATCTTACACCATACAGAAAAATTAACTCAAAATGGATTAAAGACTTGAATGTAAGACCTCAAACCATAAAACTCCTAGAAGAAAATATAGGCAGTAGAATCTTTGACATGGGTCTTAGCAGTATCTTTTTGAAGATCATGTCTACTCAGGCAAGGGAAACAAAAGAAAAAATAAACAAATGGGACTACATGAGACTAAAACACTTCTTCACGGCAAAGGAAACCACCAACAAAATGAAAAGACAAACCACCAAATAGGAGAAAATATTTGCAAATCATATATCTGACAAGGGGTTAATTTCCAAAATATATAGAGAACTTGTACAACTCAACAAAAAAAACAACCTGATCAAAAAATGGGCAGAGAATATGAACAGACATTTTTCCAAAGAAGATATGAAGATGGCCAACAGTCAAATGAAAAGATGTTCAACATCGCTAATTATTAGGGAAAGGCAAATCAAAACTACAATGAGATATCACCTTACACCTGTTAGAATGGCTGTTATTAACAAGGCAAGAAATAACAAATGTTGGAGAGGATGTGGAGAAAAGGGAACCTTCATACACTGCTGGTGGGAATGCAAACTGGTCCAGCCACTGCGGAAAACAGTATGGAGATTTCTCAAAAAATTAAAAATAGAGATACCATATGATCCAGCTATCCCAATACAGGGTATTTTTCCAAAAAACATGAAATCAACAATTCAAAGAGATTTATGCATCCCTGTGTTCATCGCAGCATTATTCATAATAGCCAAGATGTGGAAGCAACCCACATGCCCTTCAACTGATGAATGGATAAAGAAGATGTGGTGTATATATATACACACACACACACTGGAATACTACTCACCCATAAAAAAGACAAAATCATACCATTGGCAACAATGTGCATGGACCTTGAGGGTATTATGCTAAGTGAAATAAGCCGGACAGAGAAAGACAAACACTACATGATTTCACTCATATGTGGAAGATAAACAAAGACATGGATAAGGAGAACAGATTAGTGGTTACCAGAGGGGAAGGAGGTGGGGGAGAGGGCAAAAGGGGTAAAGGGGCACATATGTATGGTGATGGATATACACTAGACTATTGGTGGTTAGCACGATGCACTCTATACAGAAAATGATATATAATAATGTACACCTGAAATTACACAATGTTATAAGCCAATATGACCTCAGTAAAATAATTAAATAAATTTAAAAAAAGTCACACACTCACACAAAAGAAAATAGTAAGCGTTAGAAATCAGAGTTTCTCTAAAAGCAAAGTAGGTCTTATTAAATCAGAGGATCAAGGGCATTGCAAAGATGGAGGTGCCCCATTCCGCAGGGTGTGGGGTTATAGGAGTTGACATTCTCTTGCCTCCCCTGGCAGGCTGCAGCATAAGCTGTCCTTCCTTTCCCCTTAGTTCTATTTGTCAGGATGCATGTACTCGGACTCATCCTCCTGCTGATGTTTGTCCCCACAATATAAACACTCCTGTGTTCTGCTCACCAGAGCACTCCCAGGAAACAGAATGCCTGAGGGAGGCTCTGCTGGCCTCTCGATCCCGGCTTCAAGAGCTGGAAATGGAGCTGGAGCATCAGAAGGTGGAGAGGCAGCAGCTTTTGGAAGACTTGAAGGAGAAGCAGCAGGAGATCTTGCATTTCCGGGAGGAGCGACTATCCCTCCAGGAGAAAGACTGCAGGTAAGAGAGAGCCCCTTGATAAGGAAGATGGACCCAGTTTCAGATTTAGAAGAAGGGATATTGGCAAGACAGTTAATAGCCCCTTTTGGAAGCTTCAGTTTCCCCTCTGCTTTCCTGATTTATGGGTGACATTGAGCAGAAGGAAGGGCTTCTCTGGGAACATCTTTATCACTCTAAAGTTGAGAAAGCGAAAGTTGAGAGAGAAGACTTCAGCATATCAGATGCTGAAGAAAGAACATTCTCGTGCTTTCAGTGAGATGGAGGACACTAGTCTAACCATCACGTACATCACATCCATCTACACCAGCCGTGATGCTAGTTCCCAGCATAAACCCAGTAACTGAACTGCTTGTCAACAGGAAAAGAGCCCTGTAGGGCCAGTAAGAACACCAGGCTGGTGTGTCTGCTCCTAGCTAATGTAGCTAATGGCATGTCTCCAAGCAAAATTACTTTACGTCTCCGAGCCTCCGTTTCCACATCTGTAAAATGAAAGTGATGGTCTCATGACCCCTGGGTTGACATCTAGGGCTAAAACTCTATGATGCAAAGGTTGGCTCACAGCTTATTGCCCTGGTGGGGCTGAGTGGCCCCACAGCTCAGCGGACCCTTGCCTCTCCCCTGGCAGGCTGCAGCATAAGCTGGCCCTCCTGCAGCAGCAGTGTGAAGAGAAACAGCAGCTCTTCCAGTCCCTCCAGTCGGAGCTACAGATCTACGAGGTGCTTTATGGCAATTCCAAGAAGGGGCTGAAAGGTATGTGTTCCCCTCTACTCCTCCACCCCATGAGCTTCCTGCCCTTGCTTAGGATCCCAGTGAGGACTTTACCTTGGCAGTTGTGGTGATCTGGGAAGCTTCAGAGTTGTGTCTCAGAAGAATTCCCAGCCAGGCCTCAGCCTCCCAGTAAGAAAAGAAGAGAGCTCTCATACACAAAGCCTAGATGTTGGTGACATGAGCAAGATCCAGCCTAGGCATCCTTAAAAATAGGCCACGAGAGTCAAACTTCACCTACTTAGATGGCCAGAGCAAGTTAATCAAAGTCCAGATTATACACTGATTTTTTTTTAAATACGAAGAACTGTGCTGATGGTATCATCATTTGAAAAGGTCTTGAGTATTGTGATTAATACATACTGACCACCCATGCAGCCAATATAGCAGGCAACCTGCTCCCACCCTGACCCTTTCCCCAGTTAGAAAATTCAAAGATACAAAAAAATTTACAAAAATACCACTAATAGGACTTAAATTTCAATCCTGGAATTAAATTTTAAACTCGTTTATTGAGGACTTTTGCCACCTGCTGAAATAATAATCTAGTATTTGAGACTCTTGTTATGTTTCCCTATTCTTCTTCAAATGGGGGAGGCTATTCTAAACATAAAGTTAATAAATCCAAGCAGGCCAAAACAGAGCTGATGTCAGTGTGATGAAATTGAGCAAAGATGAAAAAAAAATCCTGAGCTTGATTACAAATATCAGTGGTAGAAGTACAGAATGGGGAGGCCTGGCTCTGTAGCCTTTCATGGGTTTGAGGATGGGGGAGTTAGGTAGAAATACATTTACACAAGGAAGTTGTAGGCCAAGGATGCTAGTAAAAGCAACTCAACCTGAGACCACAGTGGCGTAGGTGTGGTGTCCATATGGTGAGACCATGTCAGAAATATTGTTAGGTTGTGGAGCACCATCTTCTAAAAGAGACATTGACAAACTAGGGAACATAAAGAAGACAGGGAGCACAATGCCTTGGGACCAGAAATCTCGAACTGGTTGAAGAAACTAAAAACTTTTAGGCTTGGAAAAGATCATGAGGAGATGAGAACTGGCTTCAAATATCTGAAGAACTCTTAGGTGGGGAACAGCTGATGTGTTTTGTGTTTTGTGTCTGTTCATAAGGCTGAACAAGGGGCATAGGGTGAAGGGCAGTGGGATTTGGATCTACGCAATTAATGCTTTCCTTTCCATGAGAGCCTTCTAGTGACGGAATGGCTGGTATGTGAAGGAGTAAGCTCCCCATCCAGCTGTATTTGAATAGAAAGGGATGATTTGTTAAGGATCTCACAGAAGCAGTTCTTGCTTTGGATGGGATATTGACTCCCTACACCTTTCAATTCTAAGTTTTCTGGATTGTATGTTTAAAAATTCCTTAAGCAATACGGTCTATTAAGAATTTTCACTATTCAGCAAAATTTGAATTTTCATAAAACCTGATTGAATTTCCTAATTTGCTCGTGAGAAGGTGAACCAGAACTTGAAGAAATACAGGCAGCACAGCAGGCTGAGAGAATAGCTCATGTACAAAGTCATGGGTGTGTTGAGTTAGGGAGGAGGCAGACCTGCCTATAGGAGAGCTTTGTATCAGGGGTGTGAGAAGTCAGGTTTGTTGGAAGGAGAGTTGCCGGCGTACAGAAGCCCTACAAGGTAGGATGAAAGTTTACATTCTATGCAGTAGGCAATGGAAAATGAGTGTGTTTTTCCAAGAAATATAGATGATGATGGAAACAGAATTTTAAGATGGTAAGACTGTGGGACACAGGAGCTGGAGACATTAGAAAGAGGGAAACCTACTGAATGAGTGTGGCAATCTTCTGGGCATTAAGTGATGGGAGTCTAACATTAGGTGCTATTGGGAAGATAAAGGAGAATGGAGAGTTGGAAAACATTTTTTTGAGAAGAGTAAGTAAAACTATTAGAATTTGGATTTAGGGAAAGAAAGAGAGGGAGGGGCATCATGGAACTTTGGGGTTAGTATCTGGAAACCACTTCATCCCGAACTCTCTCCCCTTTCTGCCTTTCTCCGTTTTTGAGGGTCTTTTAGGATTCATTTCCAAGCTACTGCCACTAAAGCCCCATAGTCGCCTATCTTTAATTCATTAATCCAATAAGAGCTCTGAACTGATGTCTTTTTTATATACTTCTTTGGTGACAAAACATAACTGAACTGACAAAAGGGTATTTATTCATAGTCTTCATTTATCCCACTCAGTGAGAATATTCACCTAACTCATGGTGGAAATATTAATGTGTTTGATTAAGGGCTGTGGCCTAGATGCAACTGGGTGCATGAATTATATGGTATATGCATCCTATTGCCTTGCTAACAACCAAAACAGATTCTACCTTTTGAAATACATTTGGCTTCAAAGTTTTCAGATAAGCCATGTGGTCTTGTCAAATATTTATTAGATCTCTTCATCCCCAGTATGTAGGAATAGACTGTGTGTGGTGAGTGGGGGAAAAAACATGGAGAAGTTGAAAACGTCAACTAGTTATGATTTCTGGTCTGTGGTGCCCGACTCCCATTCTTACATGCCACCAAAAGGCCCAATGTCTCCCCCCACCCTCCTCTGATTCTTGAGTGTGGAGGTCATCAAATCTTCTCCCTGAGCCCCCACCCTTCTCTAGTTCCATGCTGACCTCCTGTCTTGGAAGACCCTGCTCTCTAGCCTGCAGCACTGAGGTTAACATGGAGACGAAATAATAGGCTTGACCTCATCTGCCAATCAAATGCCCTCTAGATGCACATGGGTCATTTGAGCCTCAGAAAACTGGGGTGTGTGCCATTTCAGTGTGTGCCCAGCCCCACACAGGAAAAGTGACATCTCCATCACAGATGTGTTGCCTGGGACCCTGAGGGTACAGTGGGGTCCTTGGCAGGAAGGAATGTCACAGAGGAGTGTTCTGACAAGTGCTTGGAGATACTTGGATCAGTGCCACCAGACCCCTCCTCCCTCTGCTTTCAGCTTACACCTGGGACGCCTGTCACCAAGCCCCTCTGAGCAGTGAGTTGAGCCACCTGGTGACAGAGATCCGAGCTTTGAGAGGGCAGCTGGAGCAGAGCATTCAGGTGAACAATTGTCTGCGACTGCAGCTGGAGCAGCAGTTGGATGGTGGTGCTGGCAAAGCCAGCCTCAGCCCCTCGTCCGTTAACCAGAAGTTCCCAGAACTTCCACTGACCCTGGAAACAAACAGCTGCTCTTCCCAAGGTAGGACGGAAAGGGATTCAGGAACCCCTCAGCCGGTGGGGAGGTCACCAGGACATCTGTGGTGGAAGCGACAGTTTTGTCTCTCCCACGGTACTTGGGATCAGCGTGCAATCGGAGGTGCTTCAATACAGCACCTTGAGTGAGAGCAATTCAGGGTCAGACCTGGTTCTAGATTCGAAGTTTGCCACTTACAGGTTGTTTGCCTTGGGCAAGGTGATTAAACTCTTCAGGTAGTGTAAGCCTAATCTTCCAGATGAGAATAATAATAGTATATACCTTTAAGGTTATTTAGAGCATTAAATGAAATAATTTACAAGCACCTGTCACCATAAAAATTGCTCAACAGTTAACAGCTGTGTATGTTAATCTCTATTTCTTATATTTGTGGAGTGCTTTAAAATTTACCATGTATTTTCAAGTAATTTTTCAAATAATTTCATCTGAGGTAAGGCAGGTTTTCCTATCTCTGTATTTCACATGAGAAAACTTAGGCGCTGAGACATTCACTGACATGCTGAGGTTTACAGGAGCTAAGAAACCAAACCAGGATTTGAACCAGGCGTTTGGATTTCCAGTCTGTGTTCCTTCCAGCTTGCCATGCTCTGTCTCCGTATTGCTGGCCTTCTCAGCCTGGCTCCCCATTCCCTAATTTGTGGGGAACTCAGCTGTGTGACGAAACATTCCTGTCCCTAAAAAAATCCTGTCCATGGGAAAGAAGTGGATGGCGCCATGTTTATTCCAGGTGGCGGTCATGCACTTCTTCCGCCACTGGCCCCTTGCCTGCCTCTCCAGATAGAAATGTTTAACCAGTTCTCTCCCTCTCTTCTCAATACTCTTCATCAATCTCACTTCCCCCAGTTTTAATATGAATGTTAATACTGCCCCCACACCCCAGTCTCCTGACACGCTCATTTCTACTTCCTCTTCTGTCTTTCCTTTTGATACACCATTTAATTCACCATCTCCACTCACCTCCACACCATATCCTCAATTTCATTCTAACCAGGAACCACTTTTGCTCAGGATTATCTAAAGCTGAGCTTTCAACCGTTCATGCCTGCTTTTCCTGGGGCATGTTAATCCTTACTTTTTTTCCTGGTCCTGCTAGATTTTCATTTATCAGACAATGGCCTTACGTGTCAAATGAAGGTGATACTCCCGAGATCACATTGTTGTGGCCATTAAATCAGACAGCGTATGTGGACCGCCAAGCGTAGCACCTGGCACACAGATACTGCTTGGCCTACGTGAGGTGGATGCCTTGCCTACTGGGGCTACCATGATGGTTGCAGTGTTCAGTTCTGTCTCCTTCTCTCCCCTTTAACTAGGCTTTCCCCTCTCGCTGCCTCCCCACAACAACAGCCAGGACTCAGACCCACCAGCTCAGTTGCTGCTCCTCCTGCTCACCCACCAGAGGCGTGAGCTGGAAAGCGGGCTCTAAGCCCCCTTTGCCTGAGCAGGATCCCTTCTCTCTTCTTTGTGCTGTTTTCCAGTTCCTCCACTGTAGGATTGCTGCCTGGTCTCCAACAGGGCATCTCTAACCCACCAAGGCTTTTGTCTCCTATTCTTATCACATTGCTACATTTTTTCCAGGACTAACTCATCAGAATGGTGATTAGAATGTTGAGTTTAATCGCCCGTAAATCCACTCATTGTTTGATTCAATATTTTTTTATTTTTTTTGGTGAGGAAAATTGGCCCTGAGCTAACATCCGTTGCCAATCCTCCTCTTTTTGCTGAGGAAGCTATGCCCTGGGCTAACATCCATGCCCATCTTCCTCTACTTTATATGTGGGATGCCTGCCACAGCATGGCTTGATGAGCAGTGTGTAGGTCCACACCCAGGATCTGAACCTGTGAACCTTAGGCCACTAAAATGGAGTGTGCGAACTTAAGCACTAGGTCACCAGGTCGGCCCTGATTCAATATTTTTCACATATATACTGCTTCATATATTTATGCATATTTACATTTAGTTATAAGGCATTGTATTAGACACAACATACAAAATTATATTCAAAACTGGGTTAGAAAAATATACCTGAATATTTTTCAAATTGTAAGTTGGTTTCTCATGGGACACTTCAATTAAAGGAACACCTTCTTGTTCCAAACTAAGGGATTTGTTTGCTACTGCTTTGGATTGTGGTGTCTGGGTGATGATTATGTAAGAGGTGAGTCATGCTGCAAGTCTCCAGAGGTGAAGACGAGGCTGTACATGTGCTCCTGTGTGGTGTGTCCCAGGGTTCCTGAAAATCGTGTTTGTCTTTACTCCCTAGATTCAGTTGCCTCCCCTCCAGTTCGGGATGTCGGCATGAATTCTCCAGCTCTGGTCTTCCCCAGCTCTTCTTCCGCTGCTCCTGGCTCAGCGCCCACCGTCTTCAATAGGACAAATGGTAAATATGGCAACTTAAGGGCTCAGGGACAGATGATGGAAAATTATTAATGTAAGCAAGCTTCGGTTCTCTATATACATATTATCTGAATGCAGAGATTTTTCTCTGCGTGTCCCCAGTCTTCAGCCCTATTCATTGCACCTTCTGTGACCAACTTTCCTGTCATTATTCTTCCTCCTCTGGTTTTCCTATTGCTCTGCTGTTGCTTTATTGCAGTGTTATCTCTCCCTTCCTCAAAGTGCTCTCTCTGTCCCACTTAATTTTCTTGTCTGTATCTTTTCAACCTGGAAATTTTAATTTTTTTATTAATAATATTTGTCCTGCATTTGTCAATAAAGATACAATGTACTCCTGGCAATTTTATCATTATGAGATGATGTAAGAAATGTTATAAAATCATAGAACCCAGAATATCTATGGCCTTCACACCACGCTAGTACTTTGCAAGACTGCCGTTCTTGTTCCTGGCCTCTTTCCCTATTTGATGTCTCTTTTGGATTGAAGTGAACTGAGGATATGATTATAAAAAACAGCGTTGTTGTGGTTTTATTTTTCAGAGCTGGGTTTGGATGCTTCTCCAGTAATGAAGGACCCTCCCAAGCTGGAGGGCGATGCTACTGATGGCTCCTTTGCCAATAAGCATGGCCGCCATGTCATTGGCCACGTTGATGACTATAGTGCCCTGAGACAGCAGATTGGGGAGGGCAAACTGCTGGTCAAAAGGATAGCATCTCTCGTGAGATCAGCCTGCGACTTCTCTGGCCTCGAAGCTCAAGGCGCAGAGGTAATCGCATTGTAGCTCTTAGGTGCACCTTGTCCTCGTGCCCTTTCTTCTTCTGATTTTAGCTCCTTCTCCCACTATTTGTTTCATGCTCTACAGCTCCCAACAGCCGAGGATATGTTTTCCATTTACACTCAGCCAGGCCTTTCTTCTCCATCTCCTCTTTGCACTATAAACTCTGCTCTGTCCAGTTGTAGCTGACTTGATATTTCCCCTCGGAACCAGAGGAGAGCCTGTGCAGCATCCTGCCCTCATCAGTAGAACATTTGATAGGTGTTGATGCACACATGTGGCGCTGTACTGAGTACCCTTTGGTCGCTTATTATCTATTACAGTCACACTGGCACATGGCCATCGTGGGCCAAATAAAATCGCTTAACCAGATGGCTAGAAATTCACATCCCTATGGGCCACATGTGTGGAAGGAGTGAGAAACCTGGCAGCCATGGGCTTTCCCTGTTCAGACTGAGCACGGGAAGAGAGCAGGCAGCAAGCCCTCTCAGAGCGCCTCACCGTGGAGAGACCAGGCACCAGCTGCTGTGCTGTCTGAGCCACTGGAAAAGCACAGAAACGTAGGGCAGCCCTGTCCCCAGGGACCCCTGCACCAGAGAGGAGGACATACGTCCGAGTCAATAAGTACAACAGGGGGCTCCAGGCACAGCGTTAGAAGTCGGCCTCTGGGTGTGAGGGCACGAATGAAGAGGCAGCCATTGTCCCAGGCAAGGAAAGGAACAGCTCCCTAGAGGACCCACTGGGGGGATGTGTAGGTTCTCTGGGTGGAGGAGAACATTCCAGGTAAAGGGAGTGGCACCTCAGTCCCTGGAGCTACAAATGGTTCAGCCCAGTTGAAGCCTAAGGTGTGACTTAGGGAAGGGCAGGAGGTGGCAGAGCAAAAATCAGGGACCTTAGACTAGAGCACAGAGCAGCACTAGAGCTTACAAAGACTGGGGGAGGCTGGAATCCAATGAATTCTTGATGACGGGAGGTCACTGCTGAGGTCGGAGATGCTGGGCTTCCAGGTTAGAAAAGGGTTTCTCAGGTCCAAGCAGGCCCGTATCCCTGCCTCACGCACAGAAGAAGCTTGAGCCCTGTGCTCGAAAGAAAAGTGATCTCTCAGCCCCAGCGATGTCCATGGCTACCTGCCCCCTTTCCCAGGTGCTGGGCAGCGAGGGCATCCGTGAGCTTCGGAGCAGCGCCAGCACCCTGCAGCACACGTTGGAGGAGTCGGCATCCCTCCTCACCATGTTCTGGCGAGCGGCCTTGCCAAGCTCCCAGGGCCCTGCACTGCCTGGTAAAGCGGTAAGAGGCCAGTGTCCTGCACTGGCTCTGCCCCCAAGTATCCTTATGCCCCCTGAGTCCCATGGATCCTGAAGCTCAGGAGCCCAGTGGTGAGTTGGGACAGACAGGACTCTAGGGAAGCATCCCCCGAGGGAGACCTCTCATTCCTGGTGGCTGCTTTCAGTGCAGCTCTGACTACATCCCAGCTCCTCCAAGCCCTGACTCTGGGATAAGAAATCAAGAGGAAAGGGAAAGAATGTGGAGAAGGCAAAGACATAGGAACCCTGGTAACCCACACACGTTCAGTTTCTTTAACTTTCTGAAGTGTGGCTGAGCTGAAGTTCAGGGACATGTTAAAGCGTCAACACTTCTTTCCCCACCCCCCTCTCAGGTGCACGTAGTCAAGCATGATCACAGAATGTCAGTATGAGACTACCAGCCTCTTTTAGCCACCCACTGAAATCCCAATACATTGCTTAAATCTGCGTCTCTGGGTCAGGCCTGGGGAGAGTCAGCCACCCCCAGGTGCTCTCAAATCTAAGGCCGGCTCTCTGGTTGGCAGAACCTTGGACAGGCACGTTTCAGAATCCTCTTCCCGGGGATTCTAATGCCAAATTAATAACCTTTATACCTTATGGGACCCAACTGTGCTAATTCCAAGTGAGGGGGTATTTTCCATCTTGAGATTGGCAGAAATATTTACAAAATTGCAAACCATCTCCAGTGGCCCTGTCTCCCTAGGCATAATATCCCCAACCACCCAGTCTTACTTGTGACGTCTGAGTGATATAACTGATGTCAGCACCAAATCTGAGCTCTCATTCTCAGATGGGGGTTCGGTATTGGCCTGGAGTCAGCTTCTCTTCTGCAACAGGAGTGTAGGCCTTTGCTAACGTATGGGGGCTCCCAGGTTCTCAGTGTTCCCACCACATGGCCTCATCCTTTGCTGTCATCAGCTGGAGGGTTTTAGAGGCTTTAATGGATGGAATCCAGTCCAGAAAGAGTTAAGAAGATTCTAGGATCCCACTTTGGATTGTAAAGAGCCACAAAGCAGGGGTGCTTTAGGCCTTCTGACCATTGACAGAGAGCCTCTTCCTCTTACCCAGGGAGAGTCTATGAAAAGGGAACTTCTGGAACTGAGAACCAAGCTATCCAAACAGGAGAGTCTCCTTCAGAGTACAGCTGAGCGTCTGAAGACCGCCAACCAGCAGAAGGAGAACATGGAGCAGTTCATCTTCAGCCAGTGTGGGTGCCCCAAGCCAGGGAATGGGAGAGGAAATGGGGGGCCTTCCAGACTCCCCATGTGCTGCGGATGGACAGTGACCAGAGAGGCTACAGGAGAGGGGAGATTGGTGTGATGTCCTTGATCCTCCTGTGCCATGATTAATCATGTATGCAGGGGGAGGGGGCGTGGGGGACAGCAGGAGACCCCAAGCTGAGTGGCCAGAAAGACACGCTTTAGAACATGCACCCAAGGCAAGGATGGGCCCGGTGGGTAATTTCGGCCTTGTTGGGCTGTTTTATTTCAGTGACCAGGACACATGATGTTTTGAAGAAGGCAAGGACTAATTTGGAGGTAAGGAAACCACTGTACCGGTCAGAGCCCCAGAGCCCATCCCAAACCCATCACCATCTGTCAACAGAGTCTGCAGGTGATGCTCAACCTGCTCTGACCTTCCAGGAGAAGACTTCTGGTCCCCTTGTAGGAACGCAGGTCCTCAATAAGCATCCTTCTTGTTTCCATCCCCATCACCCCTCTCACCCCAAGCAGCTCCCTCCCCTGCCATGTCGGTTCACTCTCACACTGTCATCCTTTCCTCTCTTTACTCCAGTTAGCCCTCCTTTATGCCAATTCAGGAGTCCGAGAAATGCAATTCAGTTGGTTCTCGAGGTCAGAGGACCTACGGGAGTCTGCCTCTGAATTAGCTTTCAGTGAAGGGGTCCTGGGGCCAGGTACATGTTCTGGTGTTTCCCACACCACTCTAGGAAAAATTAACAGCAAGATGCAACCCAGTAAATTGATTTCACTGCGTACTGTTGGGCTGAGAAGAGCAATTTGATTTTGATATATCTTTTTCTTTAAGCGACATCACAAAAGAAAACTGTGGGTCTTATTAACCTAAAGGAGAATCTTATAATAAATAAAAATTGAAACTTAAAGGGAAAGATATTATATATATGGCAGACATTCTCTACATTTACTTAAAACACTAACACATTCCCTAGCAAGTACTTCGAAGAAAAACTTGAGGTGTTAGAAATCACTTAAAAGTCAGAAACCAAACCTTTTAACTTGGACTGTAAAGCTTGGCCATAAGCAGCTAAGCCCATTCCTAGGAATGTTCCTAAACCGTAACCTGAAAGAATGTTGATTCCACAGTGTGAAAATGGGTTGAGCCATGATTTAAATTTACTCTTTTCTTTTTGTTTTTTTTGCTAATTCGCTTTGTTTTTCTCTGAATTCCTTTCTTTCTCGAGCCTTTTTAGAAGAACACTTACAAGATTGCCTCTGTAAAGCCTTATTCCTGTCCCAGCAAAGGTAACACAACAGCCTCACATACCCGCTGGCTTCCCCCAGTTGGGAAGTGTTCTCTCCGCTTCCTCTAGGCCATTGAAAAGGGCCCAAGGCCTGGGCTCTAATCCCAGGCCTGTCACTAACTGGCCGTGTGCGTTGGCCGGCCCCTCAGTCTCTGTGAGCAGCCGCCCCTCATCTGTAGGAGGTGGCAGTAGACTTAGAAGATCTCTGAGGTCCCTGCTGACTTGATGCCTCCCTCTCCCCTGTTAAGTAAATGGGACATAAACTTCACAGGGGGACTTCCCTGCAGAATGTCCTCTCCTTCCTACAACAGGCTGTTTCTAGATGTGCATGTTTCAGACTAAGCACTTCTTTTCCTGGGAGATCACAGAAGCCATCACTTTGCTCCAAAGTGAATTGGAGGGTGAACTGGCCCCTGAAGAGGGGCTGGTGGGATCTGGCCACCCGGTGTGCAGTGGCTTGAGCAGGGATATCACTGCCGGAGGTGGTGGGGAAGATTTTCCTCTAACCTGGTGGCACCAGTTGCACCTCAGACCACAGCGCATGCCCTCAGCTCATCCTCTTTTTTTTTTTCTTTTTTCTGAGGAAGATCAGCCCTGAGCTAACATCCATGCTAATCCTCCTCTTTTTCCTGAGGAAGTCAGCTCCTCCTCTTAACAGGCTCTCACCGTGCTCCTGGCTCTGTCACCACTCAGCTCCCACTCTAGCCTCAATCAGCCACCAGCAAGGCCTGATAACAGACTCATACTTTGTTTGATTTCTGCCTCCAGGTGAAATCCCTAAGGGGTCTGCCGTGCACTCCCGTCTTGTGACCCTTGCCTTCCAGGAGCCACGCAGGGGGCGAAGCCACCAGAGGTCGTTGAAGCAGCAGGAAGGATGGGCCTGCCCCCCTTTTGCACAGCTACCTATCTGCTGAAGAGACCTGGGCCCCACTCCTCACACCCTGCTGGAGAGTCTAGAAGAAGGTGTCAGAGGCCTGGTGGGACCGGGCGAAGGCAAAGAGCCTTTCCTGCAGTCATGGAATACCATCAGCCCAGGGTCGCTTGTCCCACCACTAAGCAAAACACGCGTAGTTTTTAGAGGACCTTGTGACGCTGCTTCTCAACACCCAGTGGCAGGGGAACCAACAACAGCACATTTCTCACCTCAGCACCTGTCCTCAGAGGGTCAACTCAGGGGAAATAGGACCTGCTTCCTAAGACGGGGGCGTGTGGTCCCAGTGCTGGAGCTCCTCGGCAGTTCTAAAAGCACACGACTGAGTGGCAGTACCCTGCTGGACAGTGGGACTCAGGCAGCACTGCCCACAGATCCACACCGGACCCAGGGCCAGCTCAGCTGGGTCACTGTCAGGGTGGGCGTCAGTCTACACTACAGCACCTGAGTTCTTTGAATCCACATGGTAAAAGCGGTGACTTCCCAGACGCCATCTCCTGCTTAGCCTGGCACCTCCTATTTCTATTCTCTTTCGATCTCCAAAGTGTGCTGACCTCACTCTAAATATGCTGTCCTGCTTTATCTGCCCAGCTTCTCTCTGGGGAATTGAGACTAAGGGCCAAATCAAGCCCATTGAAGGTCTTGTGTAAAGCAAACCAGTGATCATTTTTAAGTGGCATGTGAGAGGTCCCCGGTTGTGCTAAAGCCTAGTCTGTCTTCACAGTGCTTTAGAAGGTGTGTATGTGTGTATAAATGTATGATATATATTTATATATGTGGCTATAGCAATATGTTGGCTGACATAACTGGTGGACAGGGTTAGTGAGAGTAAATGAAACTGTCTGTTTGGTGGCTATTAAAGCAAATGTGTATAAAGAAATAAAAAGATTTTCTTCGCCTGCTTTGTTTCCAATTTCTGCACCAGACTCCAGGCTGAGTGTGTGAGAAGAGGAAAGACAACTGTCGTGAAGGTGCTTACAATCTAATGCTGGAATTCTGCATTTAAAATAATAAATTTTTCCTTCTTTGCCATTTTGGAAGAATCCCCAAGCTAAAACTACAGAAGAGTGGTTCTTATATTTGGGTTGCCTTAGAATCAGAGTTGGAGATTATAAAAACTACTTCCTGGGCTCCAATCCCAAGAGATTTAGTGTGCGTGAGGCCCTAGAATCTGCATTTTTTATACAAGCATCCCGGGTGATTCTGATGCAGGCGGGCTGCAGACCAGAGTTTAAGCATTGTTCTATAAAAAGCATTGTTCTATAACATCGAGTCAAAAGTATAAATAAGTTTATTTTACTTTAATTCAGAACCTAAGTGGAAAAGTGAATAAGTCATTCCATAAATGTTGACATAAAGATCTTAAAATATTCCTTGGGAAAAGTCCTTAGTTACACCCTTTTGCCTTTCAGAATTAAAGCTATCACTCCACAATTATGTCCTAGTAGCAGTTAGAGAATCAAAACAAACAACAAAAAGGACAAAAACTCAACCACTATCACCACCACCACCAACCACCACCAATAACAAAAGACCCATCAGCAGACTCGTGCCTGAGGTAGCGCCTGCCCCTCCTTCACAGTAGATGGAGTGACAGCCACATCTGCTCTGATGCTCCGTTGTCTCAGTATTTCCATGAGCGCCTTGGCTGTCAATCCAGAAAAACTCACCGCCAGAATCAGCAGAATGGATGAAAAGTCAGCACAGCTATTGAGTGTTACTTAAATTAGCAATATCTGAGGCTCTCTTGCCCGGTGATTATTCAAGCATCCCAGCAATTCTTCCTTCATCCCTGAGCTGCCAGGGCTGGTAAGCACTGGTGAATATAGTCAACAATCCATGGAGAACTCAAATATTGCTTCTAAAAAGTCATTTTATGTACATAGCATTTATGAAACCAACAACATATGACATCATATACATCTCAGATCTGGTCATGACCCAGTCACAACTTACTTTTGAGGAAAAGCCTTAAAAGCCATTCTTGTATTTCACCCTTTGTGAAATGTCAAAGAGTAGCTCCATGCCTTAATAAGAATAGTTACAAGAAAACATATCTTTCTTTGAGAGGAGGATTCGCCAATATTTAATTTTTTGTAAATTATATTCTTTCCCTCTGTGTGACAGAAACAGAGCCCATTCTTAAAAAAAGATAAAAAAAGTCTGTGTGGCCACCAGTGTCTTCCAATTTGCCATAATTCAAATAAGAACCATGTTGAGCCCTGTGCAGAGAATAGGATGACAGTCCTATAGCAAAGAATGGAGAGGAAAAAAGATGGCAGGTACCTAACATAACACTTAAAACATGTAAAAAATATCTTGACCTGTCAACCTAAGACAGACAGACAACCTGCAGAATTCATTCAGGGTTTATTATATCCCTCAGATCTTATTACTGCTAAAGTGAATGAGCTAGACGCTTGTATTGGTTTTCTATTGCTGTCATAACAAGTTATCAGAAACTTAGTGCCTGAAAAGAACACAAATTTGTTATTTTACAGTTCTGTAGGTTAGGAGTCCAACAGGGATCTCACTGGACTAAAATCAAGGTGTCAACAGGGATGCCTTTTCTTCTGGAGGCTCTAGGGGATGATCATCTGTTTCTTTGCTTTTTCCAGCTTTTAGAGGCCACCCACATTCCTTGGCGTGTGGCCCCTTCCACCATTTTCAAACTAGGAGAAGCAGGTAGAGTCCTTCTCACGTCACATCACTCTGACCTCCTTTTCTGCCTCTTCTATTTTTAAGGCCCTGCGTAATTCCATGGGGCTCACCTGGACAGTCCAGGATACTCTCCCCATCTCAAGGCCCTTAACATAATCACATCTGCAAAGTCCTTTTTGCTACAATGTAACACATTCACAGGTTCTGGGGATTTGAACGGGAATGGTCTAGGAGGGGGGCATTAATCTACCTATCAACACCATTAACTCAGGTGCCAACTAATATTGGAACTAAAAAAATATCTTTTCTAGTTTCAACAATTTAGTAAAATTAAGACACTACCTCAAGGTGCAATCTAGAACAGCACATCAAGACAAAGCCACATTAGAACTCTAGAAGTGCTCCATGGATGACCGTGTTATTGCACATGCACTATTCTCTTTAGAGTAGTTGTTTTGTTTTGTTTTCAGATGAGGTTTTTCCCCTCCAAAGGCTGACCTTGATTGTAGAAATCTCATCTGAGGCGAAGAGCGCGTGGTGAGGGAGGAAAGGTGGCAGTAGAGTTGGTGCAGCCGGCCCCCACTAACCTTTGACTGAACTTTCAGCTAGGTCTAAAGTGGGCAGATGGGGTGGGTTTCTTTGGACCTGCCCTTGCCTGAACATAGGGATCTTTGTGGCCCTACCCCAGGGGACCACGAGGGGGCATCATGGTCCTTCTCTTGGAACTTGCCTTGTAAAGAAGCAGGCACTGGGATATTCAATGTGTCCTGGACCTTGTGAGCCAGATGTTGGCCCTGAGTGTCCAGAGCCTCCCTGACTTTTGGTCACACCATCCAAAAGGGGTTGGGCTTGGCCTAAGGCCCGCGCTGCCCGGGCCTTGGGGGGTTGGCTGTGGAGGCTGAGCACCTCAGGTGGAGCCATCTTACTCTCTCCTCCAAAACAGGTTCTGACCAGAGAGAAATGTATTCATGCTTCTCCTGTTGGAGGAAAGTATTTCCTCATCTTCCGCTCAGACTGAGGAAGCCCTTTCCTATGTTGAGCTGCTTTGTGTGTGTGTGGGGGGGGGGGTTGGGGGTTGGGGCAGGAGGAGCAGGGAGAGCGATGAGGAGTGGCAACAAAAAAAGGCTGGAGAGCAGAAGACTGGGGAGGATGGGGAGGAGGAGAAGGAAGAGGAGGCAGCATGAAGAGGTGAAGAGGAGGAGGCCCAGAGCTTAAATACCAAGGTGGTTCTGGTCCCTGGCCCCAGAATGGCAGCTGCTCTCTCTGCATCTCCCCCAACCTCATCCTGGACACACACACACCTGTCCCTTGTCTCTCATCCTCTAGCACAAGAACAGCCTCTCATCCCTGCTCCCATCGTTTGATTCTGGGGATTCTTTCCTTTTTCACCGGGTCTCCCCAGAGCCAGACACAGGTTCCTCACCTGCAGCCAAACCCTTGTCTGTGGTTCTGGAGAGTCCAAAGCACAGAAATCTCCCAAGAGAAAAGGAAGCGCAGGCTGTGTGGGGTCACAGGGTCACCCTGCAGCATATGAATCCTGCTGTCCCAGGTCATTCTAGGTTGATATTTGTGAACATGTCTAACTGGTTCAAAAGAAAATCCAAGAAGATCCTTGGTCCAGGTCATTCTCACATGTAGTAAATTATGCTATGAAATCACAAACCAGGTGATCAATCCTCATTCTAAAGTCACAGATCAGCCTTAACAAGGGGAAAGCAGCTTGTGAGTGCCAACTACAGGAAATGAACAGAACTGGGGCAGGTCCCAGAAATGTCTCTGTAGGCGAAGCTACTTAGGCCAATGGCTAAGTAATGCCCTGTATTTGTCAGCTGGGGCTGCCATAACAAAATACCATAGGCTGGGTCACTTAAACGGAAATCTATATTTATTTTCTCACAGTTCTGGAGGCTAGAAGTCCAAGATCAAGACTGGAAGTTCCCACCAATTCAGTGTCTGAAGAGAGCTCTCTCCATGGCTTGCAGATAGCCGTGCTCTTGCTATGTCCTCACCTGGCCTTTTCTGGGTGCTTGTGCTGGGAGTCTTTTCCGGGAGCCCAAGCTTGCTGGTATCTCTTCCTATAAGGACATTAATCCTATCGGATCAGGGCCCCATGCCTATGACCTCATTTAACCTTACTTTCTTCCTTAAAGACCCCTTCTCCAAAAACAGCCACATTGGGGATTAGGATTCAACATATGAATTTTGGGGGGACATAAACATTCAGTCCGTAACACCCTCCGCAGCCTACTCCCCCATGAAGGTGTTTGTAGCTCCCAGCTCTGTTTCCTGGGAACGTCCCACGAACTGGATCCTCAGATTCCTCTCCCCACAGACTTTCTCCTTCATTCTCCTATTCAAATGCCTCCACACTGGCGTTTGCTTGCGTGGTCTGTCTTTATATTTTCCCTTTCATTCTTTTCTGTTTTGTAACACTGTACATGTAATATTGAAACATTTTGTCAAATGACGAGACCCCCTCATAATTTCTGCAATAATAAACACGAAGCAGATTTTATCGCTTATGGAAGTAAGGGAAAGCTGTGCTGATCACGCACAGTGTCTCTGAGCAGCCAGACTGCTGATCTTATGTACAATTAGGGGAAGTGTGGAGTTCAGGGTCTGGTGAGCGCTGGAGACATAAGAGAGTTGGTGTCAGCTGTTGACTGGCTGGCACTCTAGAGCTGTGAACTGAGTTGCTTTCAAGTGGCTGATCTCAGAAGTGAGGGGCCAGCACTGACCGATGTGTTTGCAGAAATGCGTTCACTGAGGAGAGTGGCTGTGGTGGCAGAATAATGCTTCCCCAGAGATGTCCACATGCGAATCCCTGGGATCTGTGAGTATGTTACTTCACATGGCAAAAGAGACTTTGCAGAGGTGATTAAATTCAGGATCTGAGGGCGGGGGTTCATCCTGGAGGGCCCAATGTAATCACAGGGTCCCTATAAGTGAAAGAGGGAGGAAGGAAAGTGAGTGTCAGAAGTGTGCTGTGAGGATAACTGGATCAGCCATGGCTGCTTTAAAGATGTAAGGGGGCTACGAGCCAAGAATCTGGGCCTCTTCTAGAAGCTGGAACAAGGAAAGAAACATTCTCCCCCAGAGCCTCCAGAAAGAAACTCAACCTTGCTGACACGTTGATTTTAGTGCCATGAGGCTCATTTTGGACTTCTGATCTTCAGCACAGTAAGATAATAAATTTGTGCTGTTTTAACACACTAAGTTTGTCGTAATTTGTTGCAGTACCAATAGAAAGCTCCTACAGGGTCATTGATGGATTAAGATGATTTAAAACTAGTTCTGGTGGCTATTTGTTACCATGGCTTTAGAACAATTACTCTGTTCCCAGAGATGTGAACTTGAACGCTTTTCAGTTCTCATTGTAAATAATTTAAAAGATACAGGATGTTGTACCAACCATCCCCATACAAAGAGTCTAAGCCCTCACCCTCTGCTCAGGGCATTATAAATGTCAAGTACTATCCAAGGTTGGGTTGTGCATAGGTGCATGCTTGGGGCAGGGTTGGGGGAGCTTCCTCACTGGATTTATAATGTTCTCCACAAGGCTGGCTGCAGAGTGTTGGGTACATGAGAGTCCTTTGTCACATCTAGGGCTATAGTCTCTGAACCCCCTCCCCACGTATGAGGAACTTCCCATGTTCTGAAACCTTAAGGATCACATACTTGCTTTCTCCATTTCCCTAGGGGCTAAGATGTGGGTATATTAGCAAGACATCACCAATCCCAGTCAGGAACAACTACTCCAGCTTTTGACAAGAGTTGAGAGACTCAAGTAACAGGCACTGGGGAAACTCATTCTGGCCCCTGCAACATAATACTCTCCCCACCTCAAGATCCTTAGTTATCACCATCCAGGGGCAGAGGGACTCATGGAACAATTGGTGGTGTCTAGTGTCCAGGGCCAGTGGCATCGCCTGTGCAAAGCCACCTGTCCAAAGCCACTCAGCAGGGGGCACTAATGTCCTTCACAGCCAGTTCCTGTCGCTCTACCCCCCTCCGCCTGCCCCTACGTCTGCCTGGGCCCGGGTGGGGGTCTCGTGGTGAGCACAATGGTTGAAGGCAACCAAGAACGGGAAATGGATGACTTCAGCCCAAGAGGCTGCGGTGTTACCTCGAGCTGAGCAGCTTTTGTGGCAGCGAGGAGCAGGCAGGGACGATCGTGGGCCTGGCCTTTGGGCATCGGAGTCCCCAGCTCACTTGGGCTCAGTGTCAACGCCCGGACCTTCCCAAAGACAAGACTCAAAGTCCCAGCGTGGGCGGGGTCGGACAGGCATTAGAATCTTTCAGCTGGGGTTGGATGGAAGGGGAGTATGTTCTGTTTCCTTGACAATAGCACAGGAACTCACACCAGCTTGTCTCCCTCTTGCGGTTGGTTAGCGCTTTCCTCTGTTAAGCGAAACGTTGGTGGCTCTGAGCTCATCCAAGGACAAAGCCTACCTTGTAATCGATCAAGGTCTTTCCACCTGCTTTTCTGTGTCCTGCAGTTCTCAGTTCCTCCCTGTGATCTTCTCTTTAAGGTCCCCCAGAATGGCCACCGAGCTTCTCTCAGCAAGCTGGTTCCTCCCGGTCTTTACCTGGTGCCCCACCTTCCTTGGGCCACCTAGACAGCTGCCCTCTCTTGTGTCATCTGCATTCTGGATTCCAGGACAACTGCCAGGGCCAGAGGTTGAAGGCTCAGGGGGACTCCCTTTAAACTGTGACATCAGAAATCAGGCTCTAAGTCACCACCAGCAACCTAGTCTCAACCTGGGTGTCGAGGTGCAACAACCTGACTCCAGTATTCACCACAGGATCTCAGGATGCCTCACCATTGATTTGTGACTGTTGTCTTTTTCTTCTTCTTTTTTTTTATATTCAATATATACACTCATATACAATACAATTCACCCATTTTAAATGTATGCTAAATGAAACAGAGTTGCTCAACCAGTACCATAATCCACTATTAGAATATCTCCTTCACCTTCTCAAATTCCCTCCAGCCATTCCACATACTTTGCTCCCTCCTTTAGCCCCAGGCAGCATTAACCTGCATTCTGTTTCTATAAATTTGTCTTTTCTAGACATTTCATATAAATAGAATAAGACAATATGTAGTGTTTTGTGTCTGGCTTCTTTCACTTAGCATAATGTTTTTGAGGTTCAGCCATGCTGTAGCTTGGAACAGATTTCTTTGCTTTTTATTGCTGAATAGAAATTCATTGTATGGATATACCGCATTGTGTTTCCCCATTCACCAGTTGATGGACATTTGAGTTGTTTCCAGATTTTTATTGCTATTATGAATAATGCTGCTATGAACATTTCTGAACAAGTCTGGTGTGGACCTATGTTTTCATTTCTCTCGGATAGATTTCTAGGCGTGGAATTGCTGGGTCATATGTAAGCTTACGTTTACCTTTTCAGAAACTGTCACAGTAGTTTCCAAAGTGGCTGTATCATTTTACATTCCCACAGCTCTCCATATTCTCAGCAACACTTGGTATTATTATCTTTTCTGAACATAATCACACTAGTTGGAAGTGGTATCTTGTTTTAATTTACGTTTCCTTAATCACTAATAACATCAAGCACCTTTTCATATGCTTGTGAACCAGTGGTCTTGAAAAGAGATTTTCACTTATTGAGGTATATGGGGTTCAAAATTGATTCGGCTTGAACTAAAAAGCCTGACTTATGGCCTATAAAACATATGCTGGACATCTGTTTTAACCATTGAAGAATGTACTCTCTTAAAACAAGAATGCATACTTCCCCTCCTATGCCTTATTGGTAATGTTCCTATTGGTTCCTTTTCCAGACATCAGGGTCATGTTGATCTACTAAATTGCAACTGAATACCTCCTTGAAACTTTGATGAATATGTATCCTAGGCATGTTTAATGTATGTTCTTTTTTCTAAAAAGCTATAAGACTGTATTGAAAACCATGCTTCTTTTGAACGCTTTCCTCATTTCTGGAAAAGGCCTTCCCAGATTATAATCCCCATCGTGGCTCAAATAAAACTCACCTTATCTCTCTTATCTATAGAATGGTTACTGGTTATTTTGCGACAGTCTTCTTTGGTAAAGTGCGAAGTCTTTCACCGATTTAAAAACTTGTGTTGCTTCTTCTTATTGAGTTTGTTGATGCAAAATATCTGGACTTACTCCCACTAAGGAAAGGAGAGAGGAACTACCTAGGGTCCCATGAGATCAAAAGACATTCTAAGGGGCTGGCCGTGGCGTAGTGGTTAAGTTCGCGTGCTCTGCTTCGACAGCCCCGGGTTCACGGGTTCAGATCCCAGGTGCGGACCTCCGTATCACTTATAAAGCCATGCTGTGGCAGGCATCCCACATATAAAGTAGAGGAAAATGAGCATGGATGTCAGCCCAGGGCCATTCTTCTTGAGCAAAAAGAGGATAATTGGCAACAGATGTTAGCTCAGGGCTAATCTTCCACACACACACACACACACACACACACACACACACACAAACACACAAAGCCATAAGGTCTGAGAGAATCCTAAGTGTTGGCTGAGATTTCCCAAGCTCAACTCAGAGACCCTACACTTTGAAGATTTGTTGGGTTTCTTATGTGTGGTCATAGGTGCACTAGCAGACAAAAGTTGACCCACTGAGCACAGAACTAGACAAAGAAACATAATATTACCTGGATATACCACATTACTTAATACCCTCACTGCAGTGGGCTCACTGAGAATGGGAATGGGCAATTGAAATGCCTGGTATTCAAAACAATTATGGGACAAAATGGAAAGTTTGGGTTAACAGTTTAAATTATAGTATCTTCAGATTGAATTTGATGGCAAGTAAAGTGCGGACTCCATGGAATAGTTTTCTAGGTTCTGCAAGTGGAAATGTGGGGCTAAGGGAGAATGTAACGATAGAACTCAGTATATAACTTACATAACTCAATACCTTTCACGCTTCCACAGTTTTTCTTTCATTTTTTCTGATCCCATGGTCCCACGCCTAAGTGTAACCATATTTGTAGCAAGGAAGTTGATATCAATACAAAATATACAAAATCGATACCATTAAATTTGGCATTGCATATTACTAATGCTACTTCAGGCTGGTTTATAACTGCATGTAGCCATGTTATGGCTAACCTTGAGTGCAGCCCCCTTATACCTGTGTGTATGTTTCTCCTTGGCCCCGTCTCTAGGTTAAGCAGGACATCTAAGCTGGCTCCATCACTGTGGGAAGGATGTAGGTCATAAATAGAAATGGGGGAGAGGATGGCAAAAAGAAGGCATGTTCATAAGTGGGTTATAATTCCACAGAGGATTGTGACCATGCTATTTCCAAGAATAATAGGCTTAGTGATCTCTCTGAAATCTGGCACTGACTAATGAGCAATGCTAGGGGAAACCATTGTACCTTTTCTCAGAGAAACAAAATCGAATTCCTGCTGATTTACAAGGTGCGTCTAAAAACTCCACCTAGACAATTTGGGCAAAAGAAAGAAACAGTGTTCCTTCTAGTTGCTTTCCCTTCAGTGGGGGATGCCCTGGAAAGAAAGAAAGGTATCCCAGTCCATTTTCCTTGTAAACAATTAGTGAAGAACCTCCTGGCAAAAACGCTAATGATAGTTACTACTGGGAGGTCCTTATCTATGGAATGCTTTCAGTGGGATGTATCTGGTCTGTGTAGAACTATAGAGGGAATCAAACCTGGAATCTGTGGACTTACGTGGCCTGGAAACTATCACACTGATTATGTAGGTATTGGCATAGGAGATGACCAAACACAGCTCCATTTTGTGTAAGTGATGACCTCAAACGTCACTTAGAGACCACATATGTTCAATCTGGGCCAGAGAAGGTCCTAATGTGGGGAGAAGCTTCTTGCAATTAGTGTCGCTGGCCTCAGACTTCTTGTTGCTCTGCTTGTGACAGAATTAATTTGATCCCTGAAAATGTGAGAAAAACTTGAAACTGGGTAAGATTTATGATTTTTGTGGCTCTGATTCAAGAATCAAATCTTTCATGTTATCTCCATTTTGGGTGGATGCGCTCTTATGCTATTCCCTGAGCTTTCTTAAAATAGTCATTGTTGGCCAAAGTCAAGCCAGGATAATCACTGTACAATGTGACTGGCAGATCACGGATTAAATATACAGTGGCCTTTATGGCCAAATTTGTTGCTAAAGTGTCTTCTCAAATCATGTACTGTTCTTTTGTATGTGGCCATTTGCCACTCTAAGCCCAAAGGTATATTTCCCTGCTACCTTGTGGTCACTGTCCTCAACTTCAGTCACTTTTAGCCTATAAATTGACGGTCTCTGTATCATCACATGATCTTAGCGGCAGAGAGATACTTACAGTTAGTTTAAGCGCATGAAGAGACTCTTGCTTCTCTGCAGACCAATGGAGTTGAGCAGCACTCTTTGATCTCAGTAAGTCATTTCAGATTTTTTCTAGAGAACAGGTAATTTTTCCATTCATGATAACATGTTTATACAGAATACAGACTACCTTAATTTAGTCTTATTGAGAAAGTGGGTCACATTATACAAGTAACTCAAAAATCAATCATCACTCTGAAAACTAGCTTTTCATCACTGAGAAAGTTTTGGCTAGGGCTTTACAGGTTCATAATAAGCTTGGTACACAATCACTCACCTATGGTATATGGCATTAAGGTTATTTTTAATAGCACTTCAAATAAATCAATGCAATATGACTTTAGTCAAGTTAGTTAACTATTGTTATGTTTTGATGACCTCAGTTTAAGTAGTACTTGTACAACTCTTCTTTTCTGCCACAGAATGTACTTTTGAGCTCTCTCACACAGCAATATCATCCCTCAGTTTGTATGGAGGGTGTGAGGGAGGTAGGACCCCAACTTCGAAAAGTAGTCTGCCCAGCAGAGTGATGTGAGCATGATGGTGGAGTGAGTTGTTCCCTTTGTCTCTCTCCTCTAAGTTACAACCAGTGGGATATCCATTGATCAACAGAGTATTCCTTACACAGCACAACAGGATGCCTAAGAGATCGAGGCATCTACACAGCTAAAGGTGGGTGGACTGGAACCCCAGGAGGTAGTGGAACTAGGGGAGCAGCCCCCCCATAGCAGCCATCCAGGGCATGGATCTCCACACTGGCCCACAAGCCTGCCAGAAAACAGGCGTGGCTTGCTCGTACAGTCTGGCAGGGGTGGAGAGTGTGGATTGGATCACTCCTTGCCCATATCCCAGAAGATTTAGGATTTG